TCACTATTTAAGTATGATTTTTGAGTCTCATCAATAGATTTTTTTTTTCAACCTTCTGTCTTCTCTGTGTATCCTTTAAAAATCTAATTTGATATCATGATAGTGTAGAGTTTTACTAGTGGAAGGAGAGAGTTCATCTAATTTGAATCCCTATTTAAAAATTAATGAGGCCGGGTGTGCTGGCTCACGCCTGTAGTCCCAGCACTTTAGGAGGCCAAGGTGGGTGGATCGCCAGTTCAAGACCAGCCTGGCCAACATGGCGAAACCCCGTCTCTATTAAAAATACAAAAGGCCGGGCGCAGTGGCTCATGCCTCTAATCCCAGCACTTTGGGAGGCCGAGGTGGGCAGATCATGAGGTCAGGAGTTTGAGACTAGCCTGGCCAACATAGTGAAACCCTGTCTCTGCTAAAAATACAAAAATTAGCCAGGCATGGTGGTGTGTGCCTGTAGTCTCAGCTACTCAGGAGGCTGAGGCAGGAGAATGCTTGAACCCAGGAGGCAGAGGTTGTGGTGAGCCAAGATCACGCCACTGCACTCCAGCCTGGGCAACAGAGTAAGACTCCGTCTCAAAAAAAAAGAAAAAAATTAAAAATTTATGATACTGAGGTTTAGAGAGGCGAAATGGCTTGTGCCTAACTTAGATCTGTAATTTTGGCAAGATTTCAAAGAAAGTGATTCAGAGTATCTGCCAGAATCCCAGTTTGTTATTGCCAGGTCTGTGCCCTTTCCACTAATTCTGTTTGAATTAATCACAATTACCTATGAAGCCTCTTCTCATTCTTTGGATATCTTTTCCCTTTTCTTTGTCAGGGATCATTTGTAAAATTCTCAAGAGAATTTATTATTTGGGAACCATATTGCCTTTTAATGTCTGTAGTCAGGAGACCTTTAGTTTCCAGGTGAGTTCCATCCAGCTTCGACAGCTGCATTCCCTCCAAACATTTTTAAATGTACTTGAAGTCAACAGCATTCATTCCAGCCCACTGCTTCCTTTTCTTGCTGTTGTAAGTTTTAGTATGAAAAGGTTGTGTTTTCTCATGTTTCATTTTTAAATTTCTTTCTTTTTCTTTAATTAGAGACAGAGTCTCACTGTATTGCCCAGGCTTGCCTTGAACTCCTGGGCTCAAGTGACCCACCAGCCTTGGCCTCCCAAAGTGTTGGGATTATAGACTTAAGCCACCGTGCCTGGCCTGTTCTCTCATTTCTAAGGATCACATCATTACCATATTGGCAGCCTTTTCTTCCCCCACACTCTAGCCACATTAAAAAAAAAACTGGGCTGGGCATGGTGGCTCACACCTGTAACCCTAGCACTCTGGGAGGCCAAGGCGGGAGGATTGTTTGAGCTCAGGAGTTTGAGATCAGTCTGGGCAACATGGTGAGACCTCGTTTCTACCAAAAAAAAAAAAAAAAAAATTAGCTGGATATGGTGGTATATGCCTATAGTCCCAGCTACTTGAGAGACTGAGGCAGGAGGATCACCTGAGCCCAGGAGTTCAAGGCTGCAGTGAGGTATGATCACACCACTGTACGAGATCCCGTCTCAAAAAAAAGAAACCCTATTTTTCGTATAATTAGATTTTCAGCAGATGGTCTAAAGTGCTCCAATATTTGTACTAGTTTTTCTCAACTGTCTGCGGTTGTGTATACCATAGGTATCTGTACTTCAATTATTGTTCTTCTCCTAATTCAAGTGTTCTTCCCTGTACTTTCACACTCTGGTTCATAGGTGTCTATATGGGTTTGATGTGTGTATACTCTGTCTCTACCATTATTTTCTTCCCTGTCTTTATTTATTACATCATACATTCCCTTTCATTGTATATTTCAATCTTGAATTCCTTAATGATATACTAACTGTTGATCTGAAAGTATCTCTTTTTGTTAGTCTGGTATTTGATCTGTGCCTAGTCTGAGGAACTGTGCTTGTCTATTTCCTTATAATAACATTTCACATGTTACCCGTACACCTCACTTTGGTATATAGCTATCCAAATCCCTAAAGACTGTACTTGATGGGTCTGCCTTTTTCCCCTCCTTTTTTTAACCTGAGCATTACTGCACAGCCTTCAGTGTCTGCTTTCTGTGTCAGATAGTCATCCTCCAGAGCATCTGACTTGGCAGCTTGTTTATTTTCTCAGAACTGAGTTTAAGGTTTTCTTGTTTCAGAGGGCAAGTCCACTCCAGCCTGGGTGTCAGAGTGAGACCCTGTCTCTAAAAAAAAAAAGAAATCAAGTGTTTCATGGAAGAGTAGATGAGAAGACCATCTACCAGATTCTTCTACTTAATGTGTTTTTTAGAAGTCTCCTTGAGAATCAATCCATTCATTCTCTGAGAAATCAACAAAAGTGGAAGCCCAAGCTCCTAGGCCTGAGTCTGCCTAGGCTCTATCATGTATTGAATGCCCTTAAGAGATACCATACACTCTTCATACAGCTATATGATTTCTGTGAACTCTACACATAACAACTCAAAAGGGATTCTTGAACTACCAACATGCATCACTTCCTTCTGGATGCAATAATAGAACTCTTTGATCTGTCAAACCGTATGATTCCTCTGTATCTTTCTGTGGAACATATTTCTTATTTAGCATGTTTTCTAGAACTGGTAGTGGTTAGTGGCAGGTAGGCCAGATCAGAAACACCTACAGCTGGAGGATTAGTCAGTCATACTGACAGGTGAGTCAGCTTGCTTTAGGATATCTACCAAAAAGCAGATAACAAGATCAAGTCCAGTCAGCCAGGTAGAGTATTTTGTCTAGAATGTATAAAAAATAGATGGTAGTTCACACTACTAGCGTTGAAGTTGGGGAGGTTCTACAAGGGGCAGGTATTTGGAACAGAGACTGGGATTCTCAAAATGGATGAGTATCATCAGAGGGGAGTTTCGATTGCAAGTACTAGGCTTTCAGCTGTGAGGCCAACATTCAGAGGCTAGAATCAAACCTCTAGGGGGATAGGTGAGAACAAGCAGGAACAGATACGGACCTAGTTATTTGAATTGGGAATTGGGACTTAAGGGAGAAGTGGAACCAATAGCAGGACTGACTTTACACCAAGTTGCCCAAGCTAATTGGCTAGAATTCCTTGACCCATAAGATTCAAAATAGGACTGGTCCCAGCCTGTGGTTGAGTCCACTGGTGGGGGTGTAATGATTCCAACTTCAATGATTAAAAGGCAGTAGAGGCAGAGTGTCCCTGATAGTGCTCTACAGGGATGGCTTAGAGTTCCACTGGTTCTGAACTTCTTTTGCTCTTCTAGTCTTGTCATTTTTTGTTCACTTATCTTTTGACATCATTTTATCTCTGCCTTCCCTCCTTGAACACTTTTTTTTTCTTTTCTTTTTTTGTTTGAGACAGTCTCACTGTTGCCCAGGCTGGAGTGTAGTGGGCAGTCTCGGCTCACTGCAAGCTCCGCCTCCCGGGTTCCCGCCATTCTCCTGCCTCAGCCTCCCAAGTAGCTGGGACTATAGGCGCCCACCACCACGCCTGGCTAATTTTTTGTATTTTTAGTAGAGATGGGATTTCACCATGTTAGCCAGGATGGTCTCATCTCCTGACCTCGTGATCCGCCTGCCTCGGCCTCTGAAAATGCTGGGATTACAGGTGTGAGCCACCATGCCTATCCTTGAACACTTTTTTCCGTCTGACTTCTCCTCTGGGCTGTTTCTACTGTCGCATCAAAAAAAGCTTTTAGGCTGGCTCACACCTGTAATCCCAGTACTTTGAGAGGCTGAGGCAGGCGGATCACCTGAGGTCAGGAGTTCAAGACCAGCCTGGCCAACATGGTGAAACCCCATCTCTACTAACAATACAAAAATTAGCTGGGCATGGTGGCAGGCACCTGTAATCCCAGCTACTTGGGAGGCTGAGGCTGGAAAATTGCTTGAACCCGGGAGGCGGAGGTTGCAGTGAGCTAAGATCACGCCATTGCACTCCAGCCTGGTTGGCAAGAGCAAAACTCCGACTCAAAAAAAAAAAAAAAAAAAAAAAAAAAATTAACTAGGCATGGTGGCAGGCGCCTGTAATCCCAGCTACTTGGGAGGCTGAGACAGGAGAATTCTTGAACCCAGGAGGCAGAGGTTACAGTAGTAGACATTTTTTGGTCTTGTCCCTTTTTCCCCTAGTAGCAGGAAGGCCTGTGTATTTGTAGTAGATATATTTGATGCCAGTCTCTGGCAGGAAAAAAACATAGAGCAGAAATGTAGCAAGCAATAATAAAAGTTTCTTGGGTATGTGTGTCACGTTTTTAAAATATCTGGATGAGCCAACAGGTTTTGTTAGTCATTCCTATTATCATTCCTGTTAATTCTGCACCTGAGATATTCCTAGGAAGGAGTACTTTTTTGCCTTTTTTTTTTTCCTCAAGAGAAAAGGTTTTGATTTGTCACCCAGGCAGGAGTGCAGTGGTGTGATTCTGGCCTACTGCAGCCTCAAACTCCTGGGCTCAAGCAATCCTCCCACCTCAGATTCCCAAGAAGTTGGGACTACAGGTGCGTGCCACCCCACCTGGTTAATTATTAAAATGTTTTGTAGAAACAGGTCCCACTATTTTGCCCAGGTTGCTCTTGAACTCCTGGGCTCAAGCGATCTTCCTGCCTCAGCCTCCTAAAGTGCTGGGATTTCAGGCACGAGCCACCACATCCACAACTTCTTTGCTTTTTTTAAGGACTGTTTTTTAACTGACCTTGTTATTATTTTTTCCCCCAGCTACTCTTCTTTTTAAATTTTAGTCAGTAGCAACCTAGAGGAATCTCTCCTGTGAGCACTTTTTCACACTGAAAATAATGGACTATAACTAAAGGATAACAGGGACTATGATCAGAAACCTCTATTCTTATATTGCTTGTTTGGACTAAGCCTTACAGGATTTGCTGGGTCTTAAGAGGCCCAGCACGTTCTTGGATATTATTTATATTGTCCTGAATCAGGTTCTTTAAATTTATATATACAGTGTGAGTTTACAGGGTTTTTTTGTTTGTTTTTTCTATCTCTAGGGTTGCAATAGTTTCTAAATCTTTTGAAGGAAAAACTGATCGCACAGAAGAGTGGTATGGAACCCAGTACAAACAAGAAGCTATACCAGATGAAGTCATCAAGGTAGGGTTAGCTCATCTGTGAATAAGCCTGTGAGGAATCAGAAGGACATTGCTTCCTACATCCACCAACTAAGACCCCAGAGTGTGGAAGACTGATGACCTAGTGTTGTCTATACCATCCTAAGAGAAATCAACAAGTAGATAAGGAGCTGGAGTTTAGCCTTTTCATGAAGACATGATGCTCTAGCCACTTTCTCATGTGTCTATCAAACCACCAGGGTTGTGCCTCATGCCATAAAAGGTAACTGAAGTGCAGGATACACGGGCACAGGCAGCAGAAAGGCAAGAAGAGATGGAAGTAGGAAGCATGAGAGACCAATGCAAGGGCTCCAAGGAGCTCACAGTCTTGCTGTGAACACAGGCTGAGAGGAGGCTCTAGGATTCATACCATGTTCACTTCAGGAGGTGCTATGTTTTATGCCTCATGTTATAGCACCGTTCTTTTTGTCAACATAGGGGAATTATGATTTTCAAAACAGGTATGTTAAGACAATATTTTGTCCCATTCATCAGTAGTCAGGATTTTGCTTGTGAATGTTACCTACTTATCTAGTACTTTTTCTTTCTTTCTCTTTTGATTCTCACTGGCTATGTGCCTTTGAGATTGGCTCCATTATTCCTGGGAAAGGCCAGAAAACTTTACTGACTAGATTCTAGCTAAACTCGAGTAATGGACATTTTAAAAATGTACCTGTGTAATGACATACAAAAAAGGAATTAGATTAAGAAAGAAAATCATCACTGATACTTCACAGCTCTCTGACATATTCATAATACAGAAGGAGATCATTGAAGCCCCCCAGTGTGTGAAAATGTCCATCTCTCTAAACTGTGAGGAAAGCTGATCTTCCATGAATTAGTGCTGGGTCTGAAATAGTCCTAAAACAAGAAAGAATCCCCATGTTCACCAGATTCTGACCAGAATAAACCTGCCCTGAATGGTTTTTTTTTTTTTTTTTTTTTTTTTTTTTTTTGAGATGGAGTCTTGCTCTGTCACCAGGCTGAAGTACAGTGGCACAATCTCGGCTCACTGTAACCTCCGCCTCCCGGGTTCAAGCGATTCTCCTACCTCAGCCTCCCAAGTAGCTGGAACTATAGGCGCATGCCACCACGCCCAGCTAATTTTTGTATTTTTAGTAGAGACAGGGTTTTACCATGTTGGCTAGGATGGTCTCAATCTCTTGACCTTGTGATCCTCCCAACTCAGCCTCCCAAAGTGCTGGGATTACAGGCGTGAGCCACCATGGCTGGCTGGGAATTTTTTAAGAACACATCTCTCTGGGAACTCAGTAGTGAAATTACTTATTAAGTGTTTCCTAGTCCCTACTATTCAGCTGTTCTGGAAACCTAAGATACCACTTAGGAAATATGGCCAACTTGCCCAGTGCGGAAAGACACAAACACAGGAGCTAAGATAGAACAGTAAAATCCGCAAGGCTGTGCCACACCAACTAGAGATCAAATTACTGAATCCAGAAATCAGAATTATTGACAATCAGTTGTTGTTGTTGTTGTTGTTTTTAATAGACAGGGCATTGCTCTGTTGTCCAGGCTGGTTGCTTTTTTCTCCTGGCCAGTTGCTTTTTTTTTTTTTTTAATGATGAAAAGCCTTATAAATTAGATTCAACAATCAGTGGCCTGTGATCTCTCCCACTTAGGTTTTGGAACTAGGACAGGGAACAGATCCAGCCTACAGGTTGTGTGAATCCCAACCTAAATCTCAACTGTGTGTTTTTTTGTTTTTTAGACGGAGTCTCGCACTGTTGCCCGGGCTGGAGTGCAATGGCGCGATCTTGGCTCACTGCAACCTCTGCCTCCCAGGTTCATGTGATTCTCCTGTCTCAGCCTCCTGAGTAGCTGGGATTACAGGTGCACACCACCACACTCGGCTGATTTTTTGTATTTTTAATAGAGATGAGGTTTCACTATGTTGGCCAGACTGGTCTCAAACTCCTGACCCCGTGATCCACACATCTTGGCTTCCCCAAGTGCTGGGATTACAGGCGTGAACCACTGCATCTGGCCTCAACTTTGTTCTTAACCTTATGCTTGAACTACTGGTTCACTTAAAAGTTCACATGATCATCTGGGAGAGGTATGAGCCAGTTCTTAAGAAGTGCTGAAGGCCGAGTGCGGTGGCTCATGTCTGTAATCCTAGCACTTTAGGAGGCTGAGGTGGGCAGATTGAGATCAGGAGTTTGAGACCAGCCTGGGCAATACAGTGAAACCCTGTCTCTAATAAAATACAGAAATTAGCTGGGTGTGGTGGTGCACACCTATAATCCTAGGGAGTTGGAGGATGCAGTGAGTGAAGATCACGCCACTGCATTCCAGCCTGGGCAACAGAGTGAGATTCTGTCTGTAAAAGAAAAAAAGAAGTACTGAAGTGAGGCTGGGCATGGCGGCTTACACCTGTAATCCCAGCACTTTGGGAGGCTGAAGTGGGTGGATCAGTTGAGGCCAGGAGTGCAAGACCAGCCTGGCCAACATGGTGAAACCCCATCTCTACTAAAAATATAAAAATTAATCGGGTGTAGTGGCACACACCTGTAGTCCCAGCTACTTGGGAGGCTGAGGCACGAGAATTGCTTGAACACAGGAGGCAGATGTTGCAGTGAGTTGAGATCATGCCACTGCACTCCAGCCTGGGCAACAGAACAAGATTCTGTCTCCGGAAGAAAAAAAAGAGAGAAGTACTGAAGTGAAAGATACCCCCTTTAGCCTGGCTTTCAGGCCATACATGGATATAACTTAGTATAGCTGAAAGTGTGGCTCTTATATAAATGACCTATTGTCTAGCAGTTGTGGAAATATATTCCTGGGCAGATTATTCTCCATTATTTAAAGAGCTAGAATAAACATGATCTGCATATGGACCAGTCAGCTTTTCTGTGTTCCATAGTCTCAGATTGTTCCTCAGCTGGTCATTTTGGAGATGTGGAGAGGAAGAATAGATATATGAGCACAAAATCTTTACTAGTACTAGAAAGACTGACTCAAATTTCATGAAAACCCATCAATAGATTTGGTAGTACCTCCTTTATATATGATGGAAAACAATGCTGTGTGACATCTGTGCATTTAATACTTGCCCATATATTGAGCAGAGATACTATTTTAAACTCTTAAATCAGGCTCTTACTGCATTTGTGTGTTTCATTACTCATCCAGAAATGGCAAAATGCTGACCTGAATGGGAAATTTAAACTTCCTACAAAGAATGAATTTATTCCTACGAATTTTGAGATTTTACCGTTAGAAAAAGAGGCAACACCATACCCTGCTCTTATTAAGGTAATGTGTTTGAATCAGTGATTTTAAATTGGGGGACAGACCTAACACATGGGGGACTAGAGAAATGATTTCTTACATTTGGTACTGTGTTGATTTGGGGCGGCTCACATACTGATAGATGACAAAAAAGCTGCAGAAAGAATAACTACAAGAAATATTAGAAGGTTGAAAATATTAAAGCAAGCAAACAAAATAATGCAGAATCTAGGAAATCGCTTTCTTTTTAGGAGAAAACAGTAAGTCTGAGCTGTAACCATAAGTCTGTGGAAAGGTCTGTGCCTCTTTTTCATGTCTGCTGAAGACCTAATAAGGAAGTAGGTTTGTGCTGCATCGTGGACATTAAAGATAAGAAAGGATCTCTACAGCCTGAAAGAGAGCAAGTCCAGGGGGAGCTGTTGGATTTCCTGCCCTTAAAAACATTCATTATGACATAGTGACTATATTAAATTAATGGAATAATAAACTAGTGCGAAGTGCCGTTGAGAAGTAGAGTTCCCTCCCCCTCTTTTTCAGACTATCCTTTTCATGCCATTGTTTCAGAACTTGAGTAAAGTATGTAAAAAATTGTATCAAATTATTACAGTACATTCTCCCTTCTAAACATATTTCTTCTCCCGTCTAAACTGTTTGTAAACTGATGACTATAGGCACACACACACATCTTTCTTTTTATCTTCTTCAAATGACCTGACATTTGGAAGAATTTAGATGAGTTCAGTGAGATAACAATCAGTGTTTAGGAACATGAAAATTTGTCTTAAGCAACTAGATTATTAATGAGGCAACATTTTTTCTTTTTTTTTCTTTTCTTTTCTTGTTTTTTCTTTTTTTTTTTTTTGAGACAGAGTCTTGTTCTTGTTGCCCAGGCTGGAGTATAATGGCATAATCTTGCTCACTGTAACTTCTGCCTCCCAAGTTCAAGTGATTCTCCTGCCTCAGCCTCCCGAGTAGCTGGGATTACAGGCACCCGCCACCACATCCAGCTAAGCTTTTGTATTTTTAGTAGAGACAGGGTTTCACCATGTTAGCCAGGCTGGCCTCGAACTCCTGACCTCAGGTGATCCACCTGCCTCGGCCTCCCAAAGTACTGGGATTACAGGCATGAGCCACCGCGCCTAGCCCATTTTTCTTTAAAAATGACATTTTAAAGAGTTTTCTATTAGCTTATGCAAAGGGAAAGTTCATTTACCCCTCCTGTTTTTTATGTGTTTTTATTTATCTATTTATTTATATATTTATTTATTTATTTATTTATTTATTTATTTTTGGAGACAGGGTCTCTCTGTTGCCCAGGCTGGAGTACAGTGGTGGGATCATAGCTCACTGCAGCCTCAAACTCCTGGGTTCAAACCATCTTCTGGCCTCAGCCTCCTAAGTAGCTGGACTACAGACGCATACCACACCCAGCTAATTTGTTTTTAATTTTTTGTAGAGATGAGATCTTGCTATATTGCCTGGGCTGGTCTGGAACTCCTGGCCTCAAGTGATCCTCCTCCTTCAGCCTCTCAAGTAGCTGGAATTATAGGTGTGAGCTACCATATCTGACTTTTGCTGTTTGTTTTAAATAGGCCTTCCCAGAACAAACTAACAAGAACATTAAACCATTTATATCTCTTCCCAGAGTTTCAAGGTAGTTTCAAGTGACTAAAGCCATTCTTAGTATAGCATGAGTGAAGTGGAGAGGCAAGATAAGTAGCTTATTTGTTCATCCTTGGCCATGTTGGTTATCCATGGTTGCATATTAAATTATTCCAAAACTTAGCAGCTTAAAACCACAACATTTAAGTTAGGCCAGGTGCGGTGGCTCGTGCCTGTAATCCCAGCACTTTGGGAGGCTGAGGCAGGCGGATCACGAGGTCAGAAGTTCAAGACCAGCCTGACCAAAATGGTGAAACCCCATCTCTACTAAAAAAAAATTAGCTGGGTGTGATGGTGCATGCCTGTTATCCCACCTACTCAGGAGGCTGAGGCAGGAGAATCGCTTGAACTCAGGAGGCAGAGATTGTGGTGAGCTGAGATTGCGCCATTGCACTCTAACCTGGGTAAGAGCGAAACTCCGTCTCAAAAAAAAAAAAAAACGCACACCATTTATAATCTCACACAGTTTTTTTCTTTTTTTTTAAGACTCGCATTCCATTGCCCAGGCTGTGGTGAAGTGGTGCAGTCATGGCTTACTGTAGCCTCAGCCTCCTGGGCTACAGTGATCCACCAACCTCAGCCTCTTGTGTACCTAGGACTACAGGCACACACCACCATGCCCAGCTAATTAATTGTTCAATATATCTGTAGAGGTGGGATCTCACTCTGTTGCCCAGGCCGATCTCAAACTCCTAGGCTCAAGTGATCCTCCTGCCTCAGCCTTCCAAATTTCTGGGATCACAGGCATGAACCATCATTCCTGGTCTCTCACAGAGTTTTTGTTTTTGTTTTTGTTTTTGTTTTTGTTTTGAGATAGAGTTTCTCTCCGTTGCCCAGGCTGGAGTGCAGTGGTACAATCTCAGCTCACTGCAACCTCCGCTTCCCAGGTTCAAGCAATTCTCATGCCTTAGCCTCCAAAGTAACTGGGATTATAGGCATGTGCCACCATGCCCAACTAATTTTTGTGTGTTTAATAGAGACAGGGTTTTGCTAGTTGGCCAGGCTGGTCTCAAACTCCTGGCCTCAAGTGATCTGCCTGCCTCGGCCTCCCAAAGTGCTGGGATTACAGGTGTGAGCCGCCGTACCCTATCTCACACAGTTTCTTTTTTTTGTTTTGTTTTGTTTTGTTTTTTGAGACAGAGTCTCGCTCTATCACCCAGGCTGGAGTGCAGTGGCACCATCTCGGCTCACTGCAACCTCCGCCTCCCAAGTTCCAGTTCAAGCAATTCTCTTGCCTCAGCCTCCCAAATAGCTGAGACTACAGGCATGAGCCACCACACCCTGCTCATTTTTGTGTTATTAGTAGAGACGGGGTTTCACCATGTTGGCCAGGATGGTCTCGAACTCCTGACCTCATGATCTGCCCACCTTGGCATCCCAAAGTGTTGGGATTACAGGAGTGAAGCCACCACGCCCAGCCCTCATATACAGTTTCTGAGGAGGGCCAGGAATCCAGCAGTGACTTAGTTGGGTAGTTCTGGCTCAGGGCCCGTTGTGTGGTTATAGTCAAGCTGTTGGCCGAGGCTTCAGTCATCTGAAGGTTCAACCAGGGCTGGAGGATTCTCTTCCAAGTTCAGTTATGTGGTTGTTGGCCAGCCTTTTTCACCACATGGACCTCTCTGTAGAGTTGCTTGACATGGCAGCAGGCTTCCCCCAAAGTGAATGATTCAAGAGGGAAAGTGAGTGATCAGGATGCAAGCCGCGGTGTCTTTTATAAATGCAGTCTCAGAAGTATACCATTAATTCTGTCATATTTTGTTAGTAAGACAGACCAACCCTGGTCTAGTGTGGGAGGGGACCACCCAAGACTGTGAATCTCAGCAGGCAAGGATTGTTGTGGGCCACCCTGGAAGCTGGCTGCCATTCGCTTGCAAGGGACTTCTGCCTCTGCCTGCCTCCCAGTGTCCGGAAAGATGAAGACAGGACAGTTGGTATTGGCTTCTCTGATCTGTCTTTTTCTTCACTGTACCCCCATCTCCCTAATACAGGGGAAATAGAAGGCAGATTTCACTCTGCTACAGGAGTCTGCAGTCTTTGTCTCCAGCTTTCTACCTACTGACTCTGAGTATGTTTCAGGGCCATGGGACAGCAGCTCCAGAACAAAACTCTAACTATTGCCTCTGTCCTCCTCCTCTTGAAGAGTGATTTGATTGAACATTTTTGCTGAATGCACCTCTATTTCCCTAACCAAACTGTTTCTCCATGACAGGATACAGCTATGAGCAAACTCTGGTTCAAACAAGATGATAAGTTTTTTTTGCCGAAGGCTTGTCTCAACTTTGAATTTTTCAGGTATGTAAGATGAGTCTAGCTTATAAAGCTTCTTATAAAAATCAACAATTACATTTCCAAAAGTTATCTATTTTTCTTAAACATCCATGTCTAGAAATAAAAGGAATTAGAGTTATTTCACCTAGAAAAGGAGAGGCTGAAATAAATAAATAAATAAATAAAAATAAAAGGAGAGGCTGGCCAGGCACAGTGGCTCACGCCTGTAATCCCAGCACTTGGGAGGCCGAGGCAGGCGGATCATGAGGTCAGGAGATCGAGACCATCCTGGCTAACACGGTGAAACCCCGTCTCTACTAAAAATACAAAAAATTAGCCAGGCATGGTGGCGGGCGCCTGTAGTCCCAGCTACTCGGGAGGCCGAGGCAGGAGAATGGTGTGAACCCAGGAGGTGGAGGTTGCAGTCAGCCGAGATTGCATCACTGCACTCCAGCCTGGGCGACAGAGCAAGACTGTGTCTCAGGAAAAAAAAAAAAAAAAGAAAGGAGAGGCTGTTGCTGTTAAGAGGTATTTTTTAAAAAAACGTTGTTAACTTTTTTTTTTTTTTTTTTCCATTAATGAGTATACCCTTTAGCTGAAATGATTTATGTTAGCTATTGTTAGGACGACCTTCTTAGCCTTCAGGGTTTTGGATTCTGAGGAGGCCGTAGATTTACCCAGAAGACTCACTGAAGAAAGAATAAATAATTTGGGGTGTTTTTACTGCTTTGGTTTTGTATTCCTGGAACTTGTCTAGAAGAAGAGGTACTAGTTACTAAATTATCCTGAGTCTTGTTTCGTCTTTTGTCTGGAGCTTCCTCTATTTCTGGCTTGATTACTTAAAAATTACTAATAAAAAGGGAGAAGATGTTTAGTAAAATTTATGAATAATGCTATTGCAATAATTTCTCAGTGCATTTTCAGTTCATCTCTGTCTTCCTTTACTTGTGTGCTAATCACCCGATTCAGATTTTACTTTGTGAGTTTATACTTTTTATAATTTTATATTTCTAAAATTCAGTGGTTTATAAGATAAGCCTATCATGGTTTATTTGTTCAGTAATGTTCAATATGATAATCAGCTTTTTCATTAATTTTTATTCAGTTGGCTTAACATGAAATTAAAGGTAGATATGGTTTAAATGCTTTGGAAAAAGGGAAAAGAATCTGATTTTCCATCAACAAATATGTTGAATTATAGTGATTATAAATATTGTGGTTTTATAGCATGAGAGTTACAGATTATCTGAAACTGCTCAGAGTTTTTTTATTGTTTACACCAAACGTGGGCTGTCAGGTTGTGGCTTATTATTGGTAAAGGGCATTACAAAGCTGCTTTTTATTTTTTGATATTTGAGAGTGATATTTTTAACACTGTAAGCAGCTTGTCACCACTTTCCCATTTGGCCTCTGTGATGATGAATTTCTTTAGAATACCCTTTGAGAGACCATTTTACATTTTCGTGTTCTCTAAACTGCCTAGCACATTTCCTACAATTGAAAATGTCTGCCTCCCACACAAATCCCATCCTCTGGTCTGTCTTCCTAGAGGTAACCGCTGTTCTGTTTCTTGTACATTTTAATTGAAATTTTCATGTGTGTGTCTATATCCTTTTCATCTTTTCAGAAATAAGATTATATTATGTGTAGTTAGCTATGGTTTTTAAAACCCTGTGATCCATATTTAAGCATATAGTATCTGGTTACAAAATAATGTATTTTTTAAATTAACACATGAACCAGAATTTAGGTATCCCAGTTGAATCCTATTATCTTTTAAAAGTTAGTTTAGTGTCTTCTCCACTTCACCAGCACAGCTGCTGTGGATACAGCTGTTTTCGTTCTTTTTTTTTTAGGAGACAGAGTCTTACTCTGTCACCCAGGACTGGAGTGCAGTTACTGCAGCCTCAAACTCTTGGGCTCAAGTGATCCTCCCATCTCAGGCTCCTGAGTAGCTGGGACTACAGGCGCATGCCACCTCGCCAGGCTGGATACATCATTTTAGGACACTCCTTGGAATTATTTTCTGAGCCTGGGCCATAGTGCTTTGAAACCCCAAACTTTCTGGCTTTTCACTTCCATCTGAGAAAGGTGCATAGTTACCTGTGGGGCTGACCTCTGTCATAGCCTCTCTTTTGTTTTGATGATTTTGTTTTTGTGAATTGTGCCTTAAGTTTTTGAGCTGCTATTTGCCCAAAGAAGGAAATCTGTCATCATGTATCATACTTTAAAAAATTTAATGGCAGATCATTTATTCAAATTTTTCAGTTGGAGAATATTTGGATAGCTATAAAACTTTGTCTTTGATTTTAATTCTCTAAGTGACTACACATTTTATCCCTGTTTTTGCTCTTTTATCAGCTTTGATAAAATTGTTGGCTTTTGGCTGGGTGCAATAGCTCACACCTGTAATCCTAACATTTTGGGAAGCCAAGGCAGGAAGATCACTTGAACCTAGGAGTTCAAGACCAGCCTGGACAACACAGTGAGACCTTGACTCAACATTAAAAAACAAAATGTTGGCTTTGTTTTCAGTACATTAGTTATATTTACTGTGATACAAATAGAGTGAAACTTTTAATTTGCTGCCAAACAAACCAAGCAGGCACCTGCCTCAGGCCTTTAGCACTAGCTATTTCTTCAGCCTGGGAAGTTCTCCACTCCACCCCTTAGATATCCCCAGGGCTCATTCACTCGCCTCCTTCAGGTCTGGGTCCAGATGTCACATGATAAGAGTGGCCTTGACTGGCTGTTATGTAAAGCAGCAGTCTTTCTTCCCTGCTGCCATCACCCCATCATTCCTTATTCCCCTTACCCTGCATAATTTTACCTCATAATACTGTCACCAACTAAAATGTCAAATTTAAATTTATTATTATTTGTCCCCTCTAGCTAGATTATCAATTCTGAGGTCAGGGACTTTGCCTGATTTGTCCACTCTTTATCTTCAGTGCCTAGAAAAGAGCCTGGCACTGTAGTAAGCATATAATACATATTTGTTGAATGAGTGAAACTTTCACTTTCTTCTGATAAAAGGTAAGCAAGGTTGTATAGTCAGAGGAGCAGGTCGTTTAACTTGCATTTGAATCACAGCTCTGCTGCCACACGAACTCAGGGGACCTGAAGAAAATTATGTTTCTTGTCTGGGAAATGAAGTTTAGTTGATCACTGTGGTTATTTAGTTCTTGTACTCTATAATTCTTTCTTCTTTGTTCTTTCTCATTTAACTATTTTTCTATTTTAGTTTTTTCCCCTAGTTTTGGCTGCTGTTATATGATAGAAATTATCAATTATTTTACTGACAGTTCTCTAGTTTTACTGCTTTGGGGAAAACTCAGGGATAAGTTAACATTTTCACAGGTCTCAATTTTTCTAAGTTCATGTAATTACCACAGACACATTTCCCAGTCTTTTACTCCTGTCCACCAAGGGTGTGACTTGATTGGAGAGAGAAGGAAGACATGCAAATACTGTATGTGTTCTGTCGGCTGTGCTCCTCCCGTTAGCCTAAGCATAGCCATGCATTTTGGCCCATTCCCACTCCTCACATACCCTGCATTTCTAACTTGTCAGTTCTGCCACACCATCTGGGGTAGGCAGTTCCTTCTCCTTCTTCACTACCAGCAGTGCATGCGCGCGCGCGCGTGCACACACACACACACACACATACACATACATTTCAGGCTTCTTTTTCAGACATCTTGTTTTTTTCCTCATAAGAAGAAATAACCTCAAGAATTCAACCATATCCTCAGGAAATCATATTAACCGGTGTTCAATATCTTGATCCTTCTCAAAAGGCCATATCACATTGAGAAGTAATAAAATCAGCTATTTTACTGTCAACATTTTCTTCCAGCCCATTTGCTTATGTGGACCCCTTGCACTGTAACATGGCCTATTTGTACCTTGAGCTCCTCAAAGATTCACTCAACGAGTATGCATATGCAGCAGAGCTAGCAGGCTTGAGCTATGATCTCCAAAATACCATCTATGGGATGTATGTAAGTACCCACGCCTTAGAGCCTTCCACTCATCAACATTTTTTATATTGATTTGATGGAAGCATTTTTTGATTGAGGGTATGAGTTTAATTTCTTTTTTTTTAATCTTTATGGCTAATCATATTTTCTCATTTAATTTTTAAGTTAGCTCTTATTCTAAGTGTTCAACTACATACCATTCATATTATGCAAATTTTCCTTGATTTCTTTTTTTTTTTAAAACGTCTTTCATCAGAATGTCATATTTTTCTACTCAAACAAAATTGGACCCTGATTTAGGTTTAGATCTTACCCATTCTGTATTTGAAATCTTGGTCTTTGGCAAAGGAAAATGAAGTCTTCCTTCTTTTGTAAAACCTAAGGTTGTCATATACTATTTCCCTAGAAATCCAGATCATGAGGCTGCATATCCATACTCTTCGGTCATGTTTCTTCATTACCATGCCACTGCTTGAGGTATCAAAGCATTTCTTTTGTTTTTCTTTTTGTTAGTCGCTACATTTATGCTGATCCTCTTCATTGCAACATGACATACCTGTTTATCAGGTTATTGAAGGATGATTTAAAAGAGTATACATATGCAGCACGCCTCTCAGGTTTGAGCTATGGCATTGCATCAGGAATGAATGCAATACTTGTAAGTAAAATGAAAACCAAAGAAAAGGCACCACCCCGTTTAAGCATTATGTTGAGCTTGGGAAAACTATTAACTTCTGCATTTTTAAACAAGAAAGTTGATGGTTTTTTTCCTTGCACCTTTTTGATGATCAGAGAACTCAAATTAGTGTTAGTTGCACTAATGAATGATTTAATAAAGTTTAGTGCATCTTGTGAACATGTATGTGTGCTACATTTATTTGCATGTTCTTCTGCCTGAGATGTTTAACATATTAATCCTGAAAGCATGTTGTTCTTTCCATATAATTGAGTATATTAACATCTGTAAGTAGAAGATATCAATAGTTGTTGTGGTGATTGAATTTTACTTATAAATAGGCTCCCTTTATTTCTGCAGATAGTAGTATAAAGTTTCTATGTTCAGATACACTTGACATTTTAATTTATTTTGTAGCATGCACCATTACCTACTTTATGTGTGTTTTAAAATAAGCATTATTAAATCCATCTAAGAAGTAACTAGATCCTTTCTTTGGAATGTGTTTTCAAGCTTGCTTATATCTCAATTCCAAGTTAACATCCCTTTTATGGCACACATTCATCTTCACTTTTCTTGAAAATGTATTGCATATTTTAGTGAAAATGAAAACGAGAGCATTTTGGGGTACTCCTTATTTAAATTCTTACACAAAAGATTTTAGGAGTTTTAAATTATGTATTTTCCAGTGACTTTTTTTTCTTCACATAAATAAATTCTCTGGTAACTTTTGTTTAATATATAAGAATGTATATTAATCTAACCATTCTCAGAGTCCACAGAAGTTTGAAGCTCAGAGATGAAAATTAGCTCCAAATAGAAAAGTAATCAACTGTTTTCTCTTTTTTCTGTTGATTTTTAGTAGCATATTACCATCAAAACACATAATATTTATTTATGACAAAATGGGTTTTCTGCTAATTGTCAGTCTAGTTCCTCCAGTAGGAAACATGATGTGCTTGCCATGGCCAGTGGCCTTCCCTCCTGCTGAGGTTCTTGCCTATCATCCTGCACAGCATGGAGACTTTCATGATATTCTAGCTGCATTGTATCCTCTACTGCTTTGGGTGCCACCATGTGAAAATATCATGATAGAAATTCTCCATTCCCCACTTTTCAAAATGTTAGGCATTTAGAGACAAAGTAAATCGTGCTGAGTTGGCTGGGCACGGTGGCTCACACCTATAATCCCAGCACTTTGGGAGGCCAAGGCAGGCAGATTGCTTTGAGCTAGGAGTTCAAGACCAACCTCCTAGGCAACATGGTAAGATCCTGTCTCTACAAAAGACACAAAAAAAATTAGCCAGAAGTGGTGGTGCATGCCTGTAGTCCAGCTACTCTGGAGGCTGAGGTGGAAGGATCGTTTGAGTCCACGGAGCAGAAGTTGCAGTCAGCCGAGATTGTACCACTGCACTCCAGCCTGGGTGGTAGAGTCAGACCCTGTCTCAAAAAACAAAAAATGTGCTAAGCCAAGATCCTGATGATACATACAGTGTATCCTTCTTACACATTTGTTTTGCCATTAGCTTTTGGAACAGCAACAGAACTTATCAAATAAGCAAGTGGTTAGAATTGTGGATCCTCCGTGGCACCGTGGCTCGTGCCTGTAATCCCAGCACTTTGGGAGGCTGAGGCAGGTGGATCGCCTGAGGTCAGGAGTCTCACTATGTTGCCCAGGTTGGTCTTAAACTCTTGGGCTCAAGCAATTGTTCCATCTCAGCTTTCCAAGTAGCTGGGACGACATGTACATGCCACTATGCCCTGTGATTTTTATCTTCTTACTTCACCTGTAAAAACCTTAAGCCTGCCATTCGTTAGATATTCTTTTTGAAGAAAAAACTTAGCCACATTCTACAATTAGTTTTATAATGAGAACTTGAATTTTGATGATGTAGTATATGCCACCAGAGTTCGATGTTAGGTGAGTTTACTTACTGTTGATTTTGTTTCAGAAAAGTAAAATTATGCTTTTGGGTATAGAGATTGCTAATGGCCAGGTACTTTGGCTCACACATATAGTTCCAGCTACTTGGGAGACTGAGGCAGGAGGATCACTTGAGCTCAGGAATTTGAGTCTAGCCTGGGTACCCTAGCAAGACCCTGTCTCGAACGAATGAATAAATAAATAAATTTTTTAAAAAAGATGGTTAGGCCTGGGCATGGTGGCTCACACCTGTAATCCCAGCACTTTGGAAAGGCCGAGGCGGGTAGATCACCTGAGGTCAGGAGTTCAAAACCAGCCTGACTAACATGGTGAAACCCCATCTCTACTAAAAATACAAAATATTAGCCGGGCCTGGTGGCGCACATCTGTAATCCCAGCTATTCCGAAGGCTGATACAGGAGAATTGCTTGAACCTGGGAGGCTGAGGTTGCAGTGAACCGAAATCGTGCTGTTGCATTCCAGCCTGGGCAACAAGAGTGAAACTCTATCTCAAAAAAAAAAAAAGATGGTTAATGTTAGTTTCCTGTTACACTATATTTATATATTTGTGAGACATTAAAGTGAATGTTTCATTTTTTATATGTCTGTTTTTGAATTCTCTACATGTTTAAAAATCAAGTCAAGTTGTTTATTTGGAAGTTGTTTTGTGATATTTTTTAGACTTTTAATACCCTGAATTCTTTCTGTAGCTTTCCGTGAAAGGTTACAATGACAAGCAGCCAATTTTACTAAAGAAGATTATTGAGAAAATGGCTACCTTTGAGATTGATGAAAAAAGATTTGAAATTATCAAAGAAGCAGTAAGTTTTCTGAACCCTGTTTTTTTATTCATAAGATAATATTGCTATGTTAAAAAAAGTTTTCATAATAGCTTTTATAAAAGAAGCAAGGAGGAAAAGAAGCATTCATAACCCTGTTGCAGTCATCTCACCTTGTCTTTGCAAAATCTGATACTCCATCCAGAAAGAAAGCCTAGTTGACTCTTGTGGACACCTGGCCTCTTCTCTGTGGGTGCCAAGAGCTCACTGCAATTCAGAGTTGCAGCTCAAAATTTCAAAGAAAAGTACTTAGTGGCTGTCAGGGCCTCCTTGAATGTTCGATCCCAACCTCCAGTTCAGAAGAACACACAATTCATCAGACTGAGGTCTGCTTTTCCACAAGACCTTGTCACAATAGAGCACACTATTTGGGTTTGACATATCTTCCACTTAAATTCAATTCATATTTGGCCCAGTAATGGAAGTACGGGATGAACAGCTCCTTCTGAAGCTAAACTGTGACCTTTTCTTGTATACCAGAAGAAACTACCATCAGTTTTCAAATAAAGATCCCATATTTTATATGGCTACTTATTTGTGTTGCTTGCTTATGGAGACTTTGGGGATGGCTTTATAGCGTAGAACCTAAAGATTCCAAAAGACATCCCTGAAAACTAGGGATAACTTTCTGAGGGACGAAAGATATCCCATAGTGAAGCACTTATAGTCCGTGTCAGATGCTGAACAAATGAAAAAGCATGCACTTTTATGTAAGGATCGGAGAGGAATAAACCCCATTCTTAATTGTATAACTTCAGAAAGGGGAAAGAAGAAAATATCCTAGTAACACATAGTTTATAGAGAATTGAAATTTGATTATAACTGGACTTTTGGAATGATTTTTAAAAGATTTATAAAATTAATGAAAGCATGTCTCCTTCACTAGTATATGCGATCTCTTAACAATTTCCGGGCTGAACAGCCTCACCAGCATGCCATGTACTACCTGCGCTTGCTGATGACTGAAGTGGCCTGGACTAAAGATGAGTTAAAAGAAGCTCTGGATGGTGAGACTTTCTACTTAAAGATTAATGCTTTTTTCATTTTTTTCCTAAATTCATTTTGGTTTATTCTGATATTGACTGTTTATACTTTTAAATAACTTGTAGTTCTATTAAAACTGGCTGTGCCTATGTTTTATAAAAACAGTGGTGGGCAGGATGGCTATAATTAACAGTAACATATACTTTTAAATAGGTAGAAGAAAGATATTGAACATTCCCAACCCAAACAAATGATAAATAAACTTGAGATGATGGATATGCTTAATACCCTGATGTGATCACTATACGTTGTATGTATATATAATAACATTATTATATACTCTATGAATATCTACAGTTACTATTTCTCAATTTAAAATAAAAGAGAAAAAAATGGTGGCTTTGAAGTGGTTTTTGCATTCAGGCAGGTTAGCCACATTTACTGTTTTTAATCTGGACCTATACCAGTTAATTACGACTATTTTTAGATTTCTGCAGACAGGCTGAGTACGGTGGCACGTACCTGTAATACTAGTACTTTTGGAAGGTGGAGCTTGAGACCAGCTTGGGCAATATAGTGAGACTCTGTCTCTACAACAAATAATAAAAATATTAGCTGGATGTGGTGGCATACACCTGTGGTCCCACTTACTCAAGAGGCTGTGGTGAGAGGATTGCTTACGCCCGGGAAGTTGAGACTACAGTGAGCCATGATTATGCCACTGCACTCCAGCTTGGATGACAGAGCAAGACACTGTCTCTGCCTCCAAAAAAAAAAATTTTTTTTTCTGCAGAGTAAATGCTGTGACCCAAGTACTAACCTTGTTAATAATGAAGGTTTTTTGTTTGTTTGGTTTTTTTTGAAGGCAGAGTCTGCTCTGTTGCCCAGGCTGGAGTGCAGTGGTGCAATCTCAGTTCATCACAACCTCCACCTCCTGGGTTCAAGCGATTCTCCTGCCTCAGCCTCCCAAGTAGCTGGAATTATAGGCGTACACCACCATGCCCGGCAAATTTTTTGTATTTTTAGTAGGGACAGGGTTTCATCATGTTGGCCAGGCTGGTCTTGAACTCCTGACCTCAGCTGATCCATTTGCCTTGGCCTCCCAAAGTGCTGAGATTAGAGGCGTGAGCCACTGCAACCGGTCAATATTGAAGTTTTAAGAAAGGAAAAAGCTTAACTTCAAAGTCTTAACACACAATGTTCAGGCTTTTTTTTTTTTTTTTTTTTTTTTTCCTGCTTTAGCATCCTTAGATCAGTTCAGTTAAAAATTGGAAAATGTATAAAGCCTAAAGAGTCATCTTTTGTTGTTTTTTTTCTAGAATCTCAAGTCTAATTTTCAGGAGTTTGGCTTGAAAATCTGAAATTCCTTTTTTTTTTTTTTTTTTTTTTTGAGGCGGAGTTTCGCTCTGTCGCCCAGGCTGGAGTGCAGTGGCCGGATCTCAGCTCACTGCAAGCTCCGCCTCCCGGGTTCACGCCATTCTCCTGCCTCAGCCTCCCGAGTAGCTGGGACTACAGGCGCCCGCCACCTCGCCCGGCTAGATTTTTGTATTTTTTAGTAGAGACGGGGTTTCACCGGGTTAGCCAGGATGGTCTTGATCTCCTGACCTCGTGATCCGCCCGTCTCGGCCTCCCAAAGTGCTGGGATTACAGGCTTGAGCCACCGCGCCCGGCCGAAAATCTGAAATTCCTTGAGAGCAGTGATTATACCTTCCTACCATACTCCTTCACTTAGTATCTAGTATAATATTATGCCCTCAGTGTGTATCTAATGAATGCCTATTGAATGCAAAGAAATTACTTTCAGGATTTCTTTATTGGGAAAAAATGTAGATTGGTATCACCCTTTATTATTGTTTTAGATTTTTTACTTCTCAACATTACCTCACCAATTAATCTCTCTTCCTGTGTGCTCAGCCATAAGCATTAAAATACAATAAAAAGAATTCTGGGCTGGACGTGGTGGCTCATGCCTCTAATCTCAGCAGCTTTGGGAGGCCGAGGCGGGTGGATCACAAGGTCAAGAGATCGAGACCATTCTGGCCAACATGGTGAAACCCCATCTCTACTAAAAATACAAAAATTAGCTGCGTGTGGTGGCACGCGCCTATAGTCCCAGCTACTTGGGAGGCGGAGATGGGAGAATTGCTTGAACCCGGGAGGCAGAGGTCTCAGTGAGCCGAGATCATCCACTGCACTCTAGCCTGGCAACAGAGAGAGACTCCATCTCAAAAAAAAAAAAAAAAAAAAAAAAGAATTCTGTTGAATGTTTTAATAACCTTTTATGACAAGTTCTTATACTTATGTAACACTATGCTTTTGATGTCTTCAGTGACACAAATGGAGCAAAGTACTGAAAGTCATTATTTTGTTGGTTGCCTCAGGCATTGGATGGGAGGCTAGATTATGAAAATCATTAACTAGAACAGGTGCATTTTTTATCGGGACAATTAATATGTTTTTCTTTGCAAAATGATTATGGTCATATGCAATTAATAGCAAGAATTATACCTTTAAAAAAATACCACACAATTAATTTTAAATGTTTTCCAAAACGAAGACTACTTTTATAATGATCAAAAAGCAAAGGTTTGAGGGTTTTTTTCACCCTTCGTTAGAATCTAGGTCAGATGGCATGTTAATTTTAAGCAGAATAAGCTCTATAGTATCTCAGAGGGATATGGAGGCTTTCTAAATGGATTTTATAAAGATTTTATAAAGTACTTTTTTGGTTTAAATTTTTCTGCTCAAGTAAATAATTATTCCATTTTGATATATATAATCCTACAATAATCCAAAATGGCAGAATGGCTAATTTGGAAACAACTCAGTGTGGGAGGCTGCCTCTCCAGTGACTCTAAATCATTCAGCTATCCAGGTGCCAGGGTAGCAAGAACTTCGGGGTTCAGTGTGGTCCAGCAGCATTTACTGACTGCCTGCCCTGTACCCAGCCCAAGACTCCAGGTGTTGAGATTAACAAATAATCAATTAAACATGGCAAAATCCCATCTCTACAAAAAAATACAAAAATTAGCCAGGCATGGTAGTGCATGCCTGTAGTCCCAGCTACTCAAGAGGCTAAGGCAGGATAATCGCTTGAACCCAGGAGGCGGAGGTTGCACCACTGCACTTCAGCCTGGGTGACAGAGCAAGATTCTGTCTCAAAAATAAATAAATAATAATTTTAAATGATCAATTAAATGGGGTTTCTTTGATGAAGGACCTCCAGTCTGGTGGTGAAGCGTAAATATGAGTAGATCATTTTAATAGAGAGAGACAAGGGGCTAAGTATTGTGATGGAAAGCTGCAGAGTGCTGAGGGAGCCTAGTGAAGAGGACTCCTAAGGCAGTACAGTGGAGTAGAATGAACATCCACTTTGGAACTGACCAAGGATCAAATCCCAGCTCTGCAGTTTACTAGCTTAATGACTTTGAACAACAAACTGAAATTTTCTTAACTTAATTTTCCTATCTTTAAAGTGGGGATAATAGTACCTACTTTATAGTGTGAAAGATAACATCTGTAAAATTCCTGATCTGTGGTAAGCACTTGTTATTTCCATTCCCGTGTTTCTCCTTAAATGTCTGTCACTGATTTTAGCATCCATTGGTAGATCTTGCATGTAGCAATTATTACTATGGTGTCCTAATGGAGAAGGGACAGCTCTTCTTTACAGAAGGATTAAATCAATATATATAAAAAGAATGAGGGAAGTAGAAAAATTGCCATTAGAACTCCGTAGTAATAATTGCTACAGGCAGTAACCACTAATGGATGCTAAAATTAGTGGGTCAAGTTTAAAGAAAAAATATTTGTATAATCTCATTTATTTTTCCCAAAATAAATATTTAGTAATTACAATAGGAAAAATAGGTGTAGATGGGCAAGTGGGCTTTTCCAAATTGCATATAGAGCATATATGAGTTATTAAATTATAAACAAAAGAATAAAATAATACATTTATAGTGAGGACATGTGGCAGATACCACCTTAACCAAGTGATTAGTGTTAACATCACTAAGTACTACAACATATCAACTTCATGAGTCCTCTGACAGGATGCAGTGAGAAAGGTGCATTACCTTTGTGGTATTCTTTGTAGTAATACAGACATGAAATCTAATCGTGAGAAAACACTAGATAAACCCAAATGAGGGACTTCTATAAAATAACTGAACAGTACTCTTCAAAAGTCTTAAGGTCATGAAATATATGGAAAGACTGAAAAACTGTCAGAGATTAGAGAGAACTAAAGACATATGACAGCTAAATGTAACAGAGGGTTGTGGATCAAATCCTGGAATAAAAAAAAAGACAAAAATGGGAAAAATCCAAATAAAGTCTCTACTTTAGTTAATAGTATATACCAATGTTAATTTCTTAGTTTTGATGGTTCTGAAAGATGTTACATTAGGGAAAACTAAGTGGAGTGTTTACAGTAACTCTCTACTATTTTTGCAAATCTTTGGTAAGTCTCAAATTATCTCAAATTTGAAAAAAAAACCCTCATAGGTAGCACTCACTATGTCTTCTTACACCTTTGCAGATGTAACCCTTCCTCGCCTTAAGGCCTTCATACCTCAGCTCCTGTCACGGCTGCACATTGAAGCCCTTCTCCATGGAAACATAACAAAGCAGGTGGGTGGTTGAGGTTTTAGCAGTCTTTTGTGGATCATTGCAAGATATTTTTTCCCTCTAGTCTTTCTCAAGATTGTTAACCAGCATGGTGTGATAAGAAACACATTAGAGTTTACTCAACCCTCTCGCTCTGTGGAGGAAGGTAGAGAGCACAGGGAAAGTAGAATGATGGTGATTAACTGAGGACCTACTTCCATGGCTGCCTCTTCTGCTGTTTCCTACCTTGTGCAATCATAGGAGGAAATGGGAGTAATTATCCCTACTCTGTGTAGGCTGGCATAATTGTATAGTAGATAAGAGCACATGCTGTAGAATCAGACAGCCTGGATTCAAATCCTGGCTCTGCTATATACCAGATCTGTAATCGTTTGAAAATGTCTTAACTCTGTGCTTATCTGTTTTCTTCTCTGTAAAATTAGAGTTATAGAAGCACCTACATCATGTGTGGTAAGGATTAAATAGTACATGATAAGTACTTAGCACATGGAAAGCACTACAAAATTTTCGTGGCAGTCTTGTCTCAAGATCCCTCAGTCTCGGCCTGGTGCAGTGGCTCACACCTGTCATCTCAGTACTTTGGAGGCTGAGGCAGGAGGATTGCTTGAACCCAAGAGTTCGAGAGGAGCTTGGGCAACATAACTCTACAAAAAATTGAAAACCAGCCAGGTGTGGTAGCGCATGCCTGTAGTCCTAGCCACTCAAGAGGCTGAGGCAGGAGGATCTCTTGAGCCTAGAGGTTGAGACTGCAGTGAGTCATGATTGTGCCACTGCACTCCAGCCTGGGTGACAGAACGAAACCCTGTCTCAAAAAAAAAAAAAGATTCTTGGTTCTATCTCCGCTCCAGAACAATATGCCCAAGGTCAGATGCTAATAAGTGGCAGAAGCAAGATTCTTACCAAGGTCATTTTACCTACAATAAAGCCTATGTTTGCCTCCCTTGCTTTTCTGTGACCCCAGGTGTCTGTAGTCAGGATCATTTCACTTGGGACCGTCTTTGGCAGTGCCTTTTTTCCAGCATCAGCATCAGTGTTGATGATTGTTTGGGTGTCTGTTTCTTTCACCACTACCACATTGACTCTATTGCAAAATGACCATACTGACAAACTCAGTTTTTATCCATTTGAATAGGATCAAATGTATTTAAGATTTAAAAATCCACTTTTATGATAAACAAAGCTAGTTTATTTCACAAACAAGATATGTTTATGTTTTTGTAATATACTGGGACATATCTTTTTCCACAGGCTGCATTAGGAATTATGCAGATGGTCGAAGACACCCTTATTGAACATGCTCATACCAAACCTCTCCTTCCAAGTCAGCTGGTTCGGTATAGAGAAGTTCAGCTCCCTGACAGTAAGTAGAGATGCTGTAACTTTGGGAATGGACTACTTTGACATAACAGTGTGGGTGATTACAGGTGGGCTGAATTTGGTATAGTTTTATGCCAAAGATTTACTTGGGAACCTCTATACTTATAGAAGTATGATTAGAGATAGATAATTCAGCCAAAAAAATTTTTGGTAGGAGGGCCAAATAAGTAAAATTGGAGGTAGGCAATAATTTTGAAGAGAATGATACTGGAATTGATGGGTACTTGAATGAACGGGAATTAGGAAGTAAAAGTATCACAGAGCTATTGACTATAAGTCATGAAATAAAATACATTTATAAAAATGGAAACTGGAATTATAATATTTAATTGGAAACCCACAGGATTCTTTGGCAGAAATAGTTTTAGGAAACCCACAGTTGCAGATAACATGTAATCATTACAAGTATACTTTTATAAGGGATTAACAAAGACTTACTGAATTTATATATTGCGGTTTACAATGTTGGGTTACTTTTACATTAACAGTGGTTTCCTCTGATAAAAACTCCTTAAGCATTATTGTCGATATTGTTCAAAACTGTGTAATAGAAGGTATATTAAATGAAGGAAGAGAAGCTTTTTTTTGGCCACGCTTGATTGTTTGGCTGTTCCCTATGCATTAACCATCTGTGCTGCCTTTTCCCCCCAGCTATTTTATCCTCCCAAAATGGTGTTCTCCTTTCCCCCTTCTTCCTCATGGGCCAGTGCCTACATCCTACTTCTCCTTCCAGGCCTATTTTATAAGCTACTTATTCCACTAAACTTTTTCTAAAACTCCCAGCTAGAAATAATCACATCTACCTCTGGACTTGCAGGACAATTTTTCTGAACCTCCCTATTCAAGCTACTTAGCACTTCTCTTGTGTTGGGATTGAAGTGCATCTCCATCTTCTTATTAGACTATATATTCCTTAAAGCCAAAGTCTGTGTCTGTTTCATTTGAGTAGCTTCTAAAGCAACTGGAACATATTATTACTTCAGGATACCTTTGTTGAACACTTAGAGATACGTTGAGCCCAGCTCTTCTATTGTGCATGACCAGTCATCACAGATCTGGTAGTGGTTTATTTCCAACTTTTGCTAGTTTATTCCTCAGTCACTACAACCAGGGCAAGAATCAGGATATGCTGATTCCACTACAATTGGAGAAAGACTCAGGATATGCTGTGCAAGAGCCATAGCAGTTGACTTCAAAGTGAGGCCAGTCTAGAAACAATATTTCAAAGTGAAATTCATCTTTCCTACTTCTTTTGACTCCACTTCCCTCTTTCTGTCTCTTTCCTAGGATCTTATCTCTTTTGCCTCCTAAGTACCCTCCCAAATTTCTCCATGTTCAAAAATAGCCCAGTTCACAGCTCATTCTCAAAATGCTAGGTGGTAGGAAATCATTCTGAATTAGCCAACTAATCAGATGTGAATGCTTTAAATAGTTCTTCACTTAACTCTCCATGGAAAGGCTCTTACTGTTTAAAAATAAAATATTCAGGCCAGGGTGGTGGCTCATGCCTATAATCCCAGCACTTTGGGAGGCCAACGTAAAAAGATTGCTTGAAGCCAGGAATTTGAGACTAGGCTGGGTAACATAGTGAGAACTTGTTTCTACAAAAAATTTAAAATAAAAAAAAATTAGCTGGGCATAGTGGCACACACCTGTAGCTACTTAGGAGGCTGAGGTGAGATGATCACTTGAACCCAGGAGGTTGAGACTGCAGTGAGCCATGATTGTGCCACTGCACTCCAGTCTGGGTGCCAGAGTGAGAGACTGTCTCAAGTGAAAAGGAAAATGTTCAGGCATTATAAAGGGGATGTTTTATTTATCATTTTTTTTTTTATTATGTTTTGAGATGGAGTCTTACTCTGTCACCCAGGCCGGAGTATAGTGGCGCAATGTCAGCTCACTGCAACCAAGGAGATGTTTTAGAATATGTAAGAAAAAGGCCAGGCAACCAGGTGCGGTGGCTCACACCTGTAATCCCAGCACTTTGGGAGGCCGAGGTGGGCAGATCACCTGAGGTCAGGAGTTTGCGACCATCCTGGCCAACGTGGTAAAACCCTGTCTCTACTAAAAACACAAAAATTAGCTGGGCATAATGGCAGGCACCTGTAATCCCGGCTACTCGGGAGGCTGAGGTAGGAGAGTTGCTTGAACCTAGGAGATGGAGGTTGCAGTGAGCTGAGATTGCACCACTGCACTCCAGCCTGGGCGACAGAGCGAGACTCTGTCTCAAAAAAAAAAAAAAAAGAAAAGGGCCAGGTGTGGTGGCCCACGTCTGTAAACCCACCTTTTTGGGAGGCCAAGGCAGGCGGATCACCTGAGATCAGGAGTTCAAGACCAGCCTGGCCAACATGGCAAAACCCTGTATCTACCAAAAATAGAAAAATTAGCCAGGTGTGGTGGCATATGCCTGTAGTCCCAGCTACTCAGGAGGCTGAGGCAGGAGAATTGATTGAATCCGGTAGGCGGAGGTTGCAGTGAGCTGAGATGGCACCACTGCATTCCAGCCTGGGTGACAGAGCAAGACTTTGTCTCAAAAAAAAAAAAATAATAAGGTATGAAAAAGCTAGAAGAATGTGAGGTGGGTGAGGGAGAGAGGCTTACAGGCCACGTTCCTCTCTCTCTGCTTTTTTTGTTTTGTTTTGTTTTTTGAGACAGGGTCTCACTCTGTACCACTGGAGCGCAGTGGTACAGTCACAGCTCACTGCAGCCTCAAACTCCTGGGGTCAAGTGATCCTCCCGCCTCAGCCTCCCAAGTAGCTGGGACTATAAATGTGAGCCATGGTGCTGGCTCCCCTCCTTCTGATGAGAGGTAACTTAGTGCTGCCAATTTATAATCAGAAAGTTTGACTGTTGGTCAAAGTTGGACATGATCAGAAAAGTGAAATCAGTGAACTATAACTCCAGGCTTCTCTACCTCCCTTTTCTATTAATGTCTAAATTATCATCTGTAAGTGTGGGCAGACATAGCATTGACTTTGTTAAACCCCAAATAAGTTTTTGAACTTGCTGCTGTCTTTTTGAAACTTCCTAGGAGGATGGTTTGTTTATCAGCAGAGAAATGAAGTTCACAATAACTGTGGCATCGAGATATACTACCAAACAGACATGCAAAGCACCTCAGAGAATATGTTTCTGGAGCTCTTCTGTCAGATTATCTCGGAACCTTGCTTCAACACCCTGCGCACCAAGGAGCAGTTGGGTGAGATGAAAGTGGGGAAATAGCAGGGTGCTGTAGACTTTGATGAATTATTTTCCCTGTAAAACATTTTCACCTGACAGTGTCTCAGGCATGCTGTACTTAGACTTGAGAAAACCTTGTTACAGAGAATCCACTTCTAAAAGATAAGCAATCACTATCTTATGGACAGTAAAGCAATTCTTTATGAGATGATACTGTATATTACATACATGTCAATAAAAGGCATTTTAGGTGGGGGGAAAGGATACTAAGGACAAGCTTATGGGTAGCAAGATGAGAAACAAGCCATCCAGAGGAGCTTAGATTCACTAAAGTTTGAGTTCCTTGAGGGCAGGTATTATCTCTCATTCATCTTTATATCCCAAGCCTGGAACATACAGAAGGTACTCAGCAAGTGTTTGCAGTTTTAAACATTGTTAAAAGTCTGGAGGTCCTGGCAGATTTGATCAATGAGGAAAAAAGTTCAAAGAAGCCCCAGTAATGACAGAAAGAAACCAGTGAAAAAAGGATGAGTCTCTCCAAGTACCCGTCATTGTTTAAATACCCATTGTGCTAGGTGCTGGACACGGAAAATGGATGCTCTGGATGGCCCTTCCTTTCAAGGAGCTCACAGTCAAATCAGGATGGCAGGCCTGTAGAGGAATAATTTTAGTACAGCATGGTAAATATTATTATAGGAGCTCAAACTATTGGCCGGGCACAGTGGCTCACGCCTGTAATCCCAGCACTTTGGGAGGCTGAGGCAGGTGGATCACCTGAGGTCAGGAGTTCAAGACCAGACTGGCCAACATGGTTGAGACCCCATCTCTACTAAAAATACAAAAATTAACTGGGCATGGTGGTGCATGCCTTTAATCCCAACTACTCAGGAGGCTGAGGCAGAGAATCACTTGAACCCAGGAGGCAGAGTTTGCAGTGAGCGGAGATCGTGCCACTGCACTCCAGCTTGGGTGACAGAGCGAGATTCCATCTCAAAAAAATCAAACTATGAATGGCTATGTTGAAGAAAGAAACTTCCTCAGAAGTGAGACCCAGAGGCACCACAGCTGTTGGAGGTGGTGGGTCAGGGCAGGGCAGCTGAAGGAGATAAGCCAAGAGCTTGGTTTTGAAAAGGTGTTGAAGGGAGGTAGTGCATGGCCTCATGAGATAACATGGAAGTATGACTTTTAGTTAGCTTGATCTCTAGAGAGTTGCATTCTGAATTAATTGGTTTAGGAATGGATTACTTAACAAGAAATACAGTAGGATAGCCAGGTTCATATGCTGAACTTGGATGTTAAAGAAAACACAGCTAAGACTGTGACTAAGGAATGAAAATGAGTCCAGCATTTTATAGTCTAGGAGTAACTTTAGCATAAATTGAAGAGGATTAGCTAGCAGAGAATGAGGAATGACAAGATGGGAGTTTGAATAACGAATAGGATTTTTTTTCCTAAGAAGAAGAAAAAGTCATCTCCAACTTTGTAATCCTTCAGAGAGCTCCTCTGCTCTGTCCTTAGGAACTGAAACTATCTTAAGTGCTCATATTTCTTTAAGAGGTGAGTAATCTAAAACCTTAAACTAGATTTTATTTGCTGAGACAGGTTAGTTTTTAAAGGATTAAAAATGACCCAGGTCTCAAATGCCAAGGTCCTGACTGGCTGATATCTGCGTTTCAGGCTATATCGTCTTCAGTGGGCCACGTCGAGCCAATGGCATACAGGGCCTGCGATTCATCATCCAGTCAGAAAAGCCACCTCACTACCTAGAAAGCAGAGTGGAAGCTTTCTTAATTACCATGGAAAAGTCCATAGAGGACATGACAGAAGAGGCCTTCCAAAAACACATTCAAGCATTAGCAATTCGTCGACTAGACAAACCAAAGAAGCTATCTGCAGAGTGTGCTAAATATTGGGGAGAAATCATCTCCCAGCAATATCATTTTGACAGAGGTAAGGTAAAATTAGGGCCCCAACATTTATGGCATTCAAGTAACATTTGATTAAGGCCATTCTACAAAATGGTATTCATTTTGTAGGTGATATTCCATTACCTATTTGGGGAGTTGGGGTCGGGGGATGGCTGGCACTTCTAAAGAACTGTTACTTAATTTAACTCCAGTTTTCTATTAGAAACCTTATCTCTTTTTTTCCTCCAAACCTAGACGTGGATCTACCCATATCTCACAATAAAGTATTAATAATAATTCAATTTCATGTTTTCGTTTCATCAGTGTATCCTAAGATTCTGATCACAGATACCTAAGTATCTATTTCCCATAATACTAAAAAAATGAGATAATACCAGATTGAACCCCTTTGAGGCAAATGCTACCCTTGAGCCACAGGAGATTTGCCTATAGGAATCTCCAAAGATTTTTCACTCCTTTCAGATTTGGGAGAGCTGTGATTCTTGAAGTCTCCTGTCTTGAATCAGCTTCCTTTCACCTCGCTTCTAGAGCATAGATTAACAATGGATTGTGCCAAGCTGTACTAGAAGTCAGGGGATGTGGGTTGTGTTCTTACTCTGACACCAACAAGCTAAAATTCTTGGTCAAGACACCGTTTTTGGACCTCAGTTTCCTTACCTATAATTTTTATTTTTGTTTTGTTCTTTCAGACAGTATCTCACTCTGTCAGCCAGGCTTGAGTGCAGTGTGTCATCATAGCTCACCGTAGCCTTGAATTCCTAGGCTCAAGCAATTCTCCTGCCTCAGACCCCCAAAGTGCTGGGATTACAGGCATGAGCCACCATGTCCAGCCTACCTATAATTTATCTGGCAGTTGGATTCACTATTAATGATAATAGTATCATTTATTGAGCATTTACCATGTACTAGCATTGTGTTATTGTCATATATCTTTTTCCTAATTCTCACTGCAGCCCTATTAAGTAGTTATTATCCCCCATTTCCAGATGAGGAAACTGAGGCTCAGAAAAGTTGAGATGACTGGCCAGGATCCAAAAGCTCATAACCAGACAGCCAGGATGTGAATCCAGGCTGGCCTGGCTCCTGAGCCAAGGCTCTTACCCATTGCACTATATCCACTTACTTTTTTTTTTTTTTTTTTTTTGAGACGGAGTTTCGCTCTTGTTGCCCAGACTGGAGTGCAATGGCACAATCTCTGGCTCACCGCAACCTCTGCCTCCCGGGTTCAAGCAGTTCTCCTGCCTTAGCCTCCCAAGTAGCTGGGATTACAGGCATGTGCCACCACTTTGGTTTTTTTTTGTAGAGATGGGGTTTCTCCATGTTGGTCAGGGTGGTCTCGAACTCCCAACCTTAGGTGATCCCCTCGCCTTGGCTTCCCAAAGTGCTGGGATTACAGGTGTGAGCCACTGCACCTGGCCCTTTTTTTTTTTTTTTTTTCTGAGACAATTTTGCTTTGTCACCCAGGCTGGAGTACAGTGATGTGATCTTGGCTCACTGCAACCTCTGCTTCCCGGGTTCGGGTGATTCTCATGTCTCAGCCTCCCCCAGATAGCTAGGACTACAGGTGCACTCCACTACACCTGGCTAATTTTTATATTTTTAATGGAGATGGGGTTTCACCGTGTTGGCCAGGCTGGTCTCAAACTTCTGGCCTCGAGTGATCCACCCACCTTGGCCTCCCAAAGTGCTGGGATTACAGGCATGAGCCACTGTGCCCAGCCAGCACCCACTTTTATTTGAAATCAAAGCAAATGGTCACTTTAAAATGTGGATGCTTGACTGGGCACGGTAGCTCACGCCTGTAATCCCAACACTTTGGGAGGCTGAGGTGAGCAGATCGTGAGGTAGGAGATCAAGACCATCCTGGCTAACACGGTGAAACCCCATCTCTGCTAAAAATAAAAAAAAAAAAAATAGCTGGGCATGGTGGCAGGTGCCTATAGTCCCAGCGACTTGGGAGGCTGAGGCAGGAGAATGGCATGAACCCAGGAGGTGGAGCTTATAGGGAGCCGAGATTGCACCTCTGTACTACAGCCTGGGCAACGGAGTAAGACTCCATCTCAAAAAAAAAAAAAAATGTGGATACTTGGCCAGATGCAATGGCTCACGCCTATAATCCCAGCACTTTGGGAGGCTGAGGTCGATAGATCACTTGAGGTCAAGAGTTCAAGACCAGCCTAGCCAACATGGCAAAACGCAGTCTCTACTAAAAATACAAAAATTACCCAGACGTGTTGGTTTGTACCTGTAATCCCAGCTACTCAGGAGGAGGGCAGGAGAATCACTTGAACCCAGGAGGCAGAGGTTGCAGTGAGCCAAGATCGAGCCACTGCACTCCAGTGTGGACGACAGAGTGAAACTCTATCTCAAAAAATATATATGGATACTTAAGAGTCTTGGAGTGAAGTATATTGTCATTTAGTGTGCTGTTCTGGGCTACTTCATATGGAAATGTTAGTAAAAATATTGTTTGATTACTTTTTCAGATAACACTGAAGTTGCATATTTAAAGACACTTACCAAGGAAGATATCATCAAATTCTACAAGGTAAGTCAAATTCATATATTTAGATTTTGACTTATAAGAAAGTATTGTAGGGCTGGGTATGGTGGCCTACACCTGTAATCCCAGCACTTTGGGAGGCCAAGGCGGAAGGATCACTTAAGGTCAGGAGTTAAAGACGAGCCTGGCCAACATGGTGAAACCCCGTCTCTACTAAAAATACAAAAATTAGCTGGGTGTGGTGGCATACGCCTGTAATCCCAGCTACTCAGGAGGCTGAAGCATGAGAATCACTTGAACCTGGGAGGCAGAGGTTGCAGTGAGTGGAAATCGCTCCACTGCACTCCAGCCTGGGTGACAGAGCGAAACTGTGCCTCAAAAAAACCAAAACACCTATTGTATGTGCTATATTGTGTGTTGCTGCTTTGAAGCCATTCAGGCTGGATTTATGAAGGTGTTTTTGTGGATTTAAGTTTTTTGACACAAACACTTAATGACTTTTAGAATAAAGACAGTTTTTATTGAACCAAGTACTGTTTTCCTCTCCCTCTAAACCAAGTTTGCCGAACCTGCAGCCTGTGGGCCACATGCAGCCCACATTATGAGATGTTTTGCGAAATTTTTTTTTTTGTTCTAGCTTATCAGCTATTGTTAGTGTATTTTACGTGTGGCCTGTGACAATTCTCCCAGTGTGGCCCAAGGAAGTCAAAAGATTGACCCATGCTCTAAACCAAGGACTGTGACAGCCCTTCCTGACTTCCAAATCTACCTTTTTAGGCACGCTTTCAGTTTCTTCTCTCTGTTCTCCACCCTACTCTGCAAAGAATATTGCTGAGTTTGTTTGGTGGGAAGGAAGAACAAAGAAAACAAAAGAACTTGAGAATCAGATTATTTTCCAAGCTCTGACAACTATAAATTGTCTTCACCCATTTAGGTGCCACTATGGCTGCTTTTTAAAATAAATGATTACTCACCTTTGAATCATGGTCAGAGATATAATAAGTTTTACATGCTTGTGCTCACTGAGGAAGTTTATCAAAAGGAAAGGGAGGCACCACCATTAAAGTCTTTTCAGCAAGCTTTAAGAGATTCACACCGGCTGGGCACGGTGGCTCACGCCTGTAATCCCAGCACTTTGGGAGGCTGAATTGGGTGAATCACGAGGTCAGGAGTTCAAGACCAGTGTGGCCAACATAGTGAAACCCTGTATCTACTAAAAATAAAAATAAAAAATTAGCCGGGTGTGGTGGTGGGTGCCTGTAATCCTAGCTACTCAGGAGACTGAGGCAGGAGAATCGCTTGAATCTGGCAGGCAGAGGTTGCAGCGAGCTGAGATCGCACCACTGCACGCCAGCCTGGGCGACAGTGCGAGACTCTGTCTCAAAAAAAAAACAAAACAAAGAGGTTCATACCATCTAAATCTTCCCCTCTATAAAAATTCTTAAGAAGGACAGCAAAATTTCCATTAAGTAGGTATATTAATGTGTAATAAGTATACTAAATGCAAAAATTCAAAATGTATGCTGCAATGGAATTGTACCTAAAGTGTTACATATATTTTTTGTAATATATTGGGGCCTCTAGTTTGTGTAAAATACTTGTATGCCTGTTTTTCACAATAAGGAGCAAAATTATACTCTGTGATTACTATAGTACCTTAGAATTGTCCCTTAATGTTCTAGCCATTTCTGGTTTGTCATTAGGTTGTTTGGTCGGGGACTCGTCCCCCCTGTGCCCACATCCTTTTAGAGAGATACTGTACTTTATGGTATTTTTTTCTAGGGATGTATTATAGCTGCCAGCACAGGAATCAGTGCTTACAGTTCTCATTAGAATGACTTTGTGAAGTTAGTGGTACAATGAGGCTTGATCACATTTTTTCCTATACTAGGGTTTCTAATGTTTATGTAATTCACCACTCCTAGTGCTGAGTGAGAGGATAAGGAAAAAGTAACCGTCTTTGACCAAAAGGTGCTGATTAGTTTCTTTGAGGAAAATGGTGATTTTGTATCATCCATGAGTTGGTTGCACCTCTCCCCGCAACTCTTCTGCAAAAATATTAAGGCTGTTTGCAAACAAGTATTAATATAGCTGGTATCACTTTAACAATAAGAAAAGGAGATTATAGTTTCAGAATTGAGCAGCAAAAGCCGGTATTTTGAATGCATCTTTTGCAGCAATGAGATTTCACCCATTTTGGCTATGAAAATGAATGGCTAGACAAGGTATTTTCTTTACGTCATGGCTCCCTTTGCATTGTATAGAGGAAGAGAAGAGTCTCATCTAAATTACTCTTGTTATTCTGCAATAATAGCCTGTAGTCCCAGCTGCTGGGGAGGCTGAGACAGAAAGATCGCTAGAGCCCAGGAGTTCAAGACCAACCTTGGAAACATAGCTAGACCCTGCTTCAAAAAAAAGAGAGAGGGGCTGGGTGTGGTAGCTCACGCCTGTAATCCCAGCACTTTGGGAGGCGGAGGTGGGTGGATCACGAGGTCAGGAGTTCAAGACCAACCTGGCCAACATGGTGAAACCCCGTCTCTACTAAAAATACAAAATTAGCCGGGCATGGTGATGCACGCCTTTAATCCCAGCTACTCAGGAACCTGAGGCAGGAGAATCGCTTGAACCCAGAAGGCAGAGGTTGCAGTGAGCCAAGATTGCACCACTGCACTCCAGCCTAGGCGACAGAGCGAGATTTCGTCTCAAAAACAAACAAACAAATAAAAAACAGAGAGTATTTATAACCAGGCTTCAGCTAAGTTTAGGATAGCATTTCCCTAGCTGTGTTCCATGGTATGCAAGACATTAATAGGGGTACCTAGGAAAGGGATTTCATGATCATAGAAGTTTGGGAAAGACGATTCCCATTCTTAGAGAATCACAGAGTGTGTTGGTATTGTAGAAATTGTAAGAAGTCCCACAGTAAAGACTTTAGCCTGCATTTATTTAATTTTGACTAACATTTTCTAAACTGATTTCACCATGCATCCTTTTTTACACAGAATACCTATAAATATCTCCTGGGACTGTAGTGTTCCTTAGAACATATTAATAGTTTGCAAGAAGGTGCAGTTGTTTGTTTTTAGAAAAATGAGGATTGTCCAGAGTTGGTCAGAAAATTGGGAACAATCTGAAACTGGAGAGGGTATTCTGCTGTCTGCTGATGTGGGTAGACAAGCGGGTAATGAAGGTTTGGGTGACAGGAGATGGAGGAGAGATCTTTGAAAGCAAACTTTTTACTCCGGTAAGATGAAGTTCTTAGATGAGGTACTACATGTTAATAGAGGCAGACCTGGGCTGAGCTCCTGGAAAAGAGGCTGGAGAGGTCAGAGCAGGCCTGTGAGAATCTGGGCTGTTTTGCCTGCTGGCGGGGAGTAGAGCGGGGAGCCATGGGCAGGTTTGCTGTGCAACATCAACAGGGCTTCCTTGCACACAGGACCAGGCTTATTAGTAACTGCTCAGTTACTAGTAACTGATTAGCAACTGCTCAGTTACTGGTAACTAAATTAGCAACTGCTCAGTTACTAATAACTAATAACCGTTATTAGGAAGTAACTGTTGAGTGGATTTGGTTTGGCTGATGATTTCTCCGCTCTAAGGATATGAAACGTTGCTTATGGCTAAGACATCAGAGGAACTTTGTCACAATTTGTACCCCATTAGAAAAGACAGTAAAAGTCTGCTGTTAAGGGAAAGGTTGGGACATACTTCCCTACAGGATCCACCTGCCAACCTAGCACTGCTGGCGTTCATGGTAGTAACTAAGGGGAATCCCTCCAAGCAGCATGGTGGAATGGAGAGAGCAAGCAGACTCCAGCTTCTGACACCATCACCTATGAACTGTGTGACCCATGTAATTCACGTAAGCTGCTGTGTCTTAGAGCCTCTAAAGTAAGAATCATCATGATGCTTAGTTCACAGAGAATTAAATGAGCTGACATAGGAGAGTGCCTGATATAATGCAGGACTCAGTAATTGTTAGTTTCCTTTCTCTTTTGGTAGATGAACCACAGTTTACAAGCAGAATCTGAGAAGGTTCTTAGAGGAGCAGGCGTTGTGCTTGTCCCTGTCTAAGCTCAGACCATTGTCTCTGTAGACACTAAAGATCACCAGGTACAGCCCTGCACAGCCCAGCCCAGTGAGTACTAAGCTAGGGTGTGAATCCTAGCTCAGGCACTTATCAGCTGTAGGACTTTGAGCAATTTTTTAATCTCCTTGGATTCAGTTTTCTCATCTATAAAATTGGGTTAAGAATAATTATTTCCTTAGAGTAAGAAAAGGAAAGGGAAAAAAAAAAGAATAATTCTTGCCTGCCTTGCTAAATATTTGTAGAGCTTAAATAACATAAATGAGGAGAAAGAAAGGGAAGTATCTTTTCTTTCTCTTTTCTTTTTTTTTTTTTTTTTTTTTTTTTTTTTTTGAGACAGAGTCTTGCTCTGTCACCCAGGCTAGAGTGCAGTGGCATGATCTTGGCTCACCGCACATGGCATACTTTGCCTCCTGGTGTCAGGCAATCCTCCCACCTCAGCCTCCCAAGTATCTGGGATTACAAGCATGTACCACCACATCTGGCTAATTGTTTTATTTTTGGTAAAGACAGGGTTTCACTATGTTGGCCAAGCTGGTCTCGAACTCCTGACCTCAAGTGATCCACCTGCCTCGGCCTCCCAAAGTGCTGGGATTACAGGCATGAGCCACCGCACCCGGCCAGAAAGGGAAGCATCTTTTCTATATCTGACTGCGTGATAGCTGAGTCTTCATAGTCATCAGAGAACACCTCAATGTAAGTTCTTTAGTGGAGCAAAAGGGTGACCCCGCTCTTCTTTCTGCCTAGGAAATGTTGGCAGTAGATGCCCCAAGGAGACATAAGGTATCCGTCCATGTTCTTGCCAGGGAAATGGATTCTTGTAAGTATTAAATATTGCCTTTTTAGGCTCATGTTGAGCCATCTGATGGTTGGCCTTTGTCATAGCTACATGCCTTATAGAACACCAGAAAGTAAAAGAGGTAGAGAACGGAAACTGGAGATAATGCCTGCAGATAATAAGGGGAAAAGAGAAATGAGGCAGTGAAGGAGAGAGCCAGTACCAGGTGACAGAATGCTGAGCTAGCCACAGCATCACAGGAAAACACAGAGGCTTGCTGTTGGGATGTCTCCAAAGAGGCTGCATGAACCACTGCATGTGGGGAGTATGGGTAAGCAAGCTAACTTCCCAGTCCTTCTTGCTTCCTGGCTTTTACTGGCCAAAGTTTGTCCTGTGGCCATTAACTCCCCTGGCTTTCTGGGCAGTTTTACTAGGTCCTTCTGGGTGGCCAGAAAGTCACAGTAGACCTGGGCACTAAAACTGCTGTGGCCAAAGTTTTATGACCTCAGGAATATCATGAGCCATCACTGGGTGGCTCTGGATAGAAGGCAGGACAGGTACTTAAGGCCTTGGGTAGCAGGCAACCTTGAGAGGATCTGAGAAGTACATGAACGGGGCCTGGTGCAGTGTTTTTAATTAACTGAGTCTGGTTTAGATTTTTTTTAGTTGTTCTCGTGTGATAGTATCAGTAAGTACAAAGTATTAAACCTTTTATTTTCTTATAGGTCCTGTTGTTGGAGAGTTCCCATGTCAAAATGATATAAATTTGTCACAAGCACCAGCCTTGCCACAAGTAAGAAATATAAATGTTATGTTAGATTGTACTGACAGAGGACTTTCTATTTAGAAGAAACAGCTTGTTGTTTTGTTGTTGTTGTTATTGTTTTGAGATGAAGTCTCACTCAGTCACCCAGGCTGGAGTGCCGTGGTGCGATCTCAGCTCACTGCAACCTCCACCTCTCAGGTTCAAGCGATTCTCCTGCCTCAGCCTCTTGAGTAGCTGGGATTACAGGCATACGCCACCACGCCCAGCTAGTTTTTGTATTTTTAGTAGAGGCGGGGTTTCACCATGTTGGCCAGGCTGGTCTTGCACTGCTGACCTCAAGTGATGATCCACCCGCCTCGGCCTCCCAGAGTGCTGGGATTACAGGCACGAGACACCGTGCCCGGCCGGAAGAGGCTTGTTCATCGGGACACTGATGAACTAAAAGTTTCACGTCACCAGGTGTTGGAGCTTCTACTTTAGTTCTTCCCTGAACATCTAGTCACTCAGCCTCTACCCTTGTCTGCCTTTGCCTCCTGTTGGAACAGTTGTGTTATTTTACAATGTATCATCTCTGGCTACATCTGTTCCCAGCACTGAATATTGGAGAGAGACTTCTTAGTCTCTCCCATGTTACCTGCATATTTTAATCATCTAGAAAGATTGACATTCACTTGCAAGAGGAGGAAACTGGCAGTGTAACTAGGCTCTTTGTGGGTGGGCACATCAGCCTCTGCTACTCTGCTGAAGCCTTGATGCTAGGCCTCTAAGTCCCTGGTGAACCAGCCCTTGTTTGCCCAGAGGAAAACCAAAAGGACTAAGGACACTTACCATAGGTTTGTACAGACCAACTCATGACCCTCCAGACCTACTGATCCAGAAGAAAAGGTCAGCAGATCGTGATACATGGGTTATTAAGTTATTAGAACTGAGGTGTGCTCCCAGTGTCCCCCAGAAAAGTCGATGTCCTTATTCTGATTTTTAGGTTAAATACACTAAAAGGAAACTTTTTTCTTTGCAGCCTGAAGTGATTCAGAACATGACCGAATTCAAGCGTGGTTTGCCACTGTTTCCCCTTGTGAAACCACATATTAACTTCATGGCTGCAAAACTCTGAAGATTCCCCATGCGTGGGAAAGTGCAAGTGGATGCATTCCTGAGTCTTCCAGAGCCTAGGAAAATCATCTTGGCCACTTTAATAGTTTCTGATTCATTATTAGAGAAACAAACTGAAAAGTTGTCAAATGTCATTATGTAGAAATATTATAAATCCAAAGTAATTAAATTACAAAATCTTATAGATGTAGAATATTTTTTAAATACATGCCTCTTAAATATTTTAAAATTTTTCTTTTCATTACTGAGAGAAATTTCCCCTATATAACAATGCTTAAAATGAATGCTATTCCTGTAGAATCTTCCTTCCCTATTCTGTAAAATAGTCACTTGTCCGAAGAAAGTAAAAGTTAGTTCTTTTCTAAAAGCCTCCTAGGTTGACATAGAAGGCTTCACAACATTTAGAAAGTAATACCTTTTTAAAAATTGATCCTCAAATTTGCTTTCTACTTGATGGTTTCATGTAAATCAGTGGAAAACATTACATTTGGCAGATGATAAAGCAATGTAATCTTCTTTTACTAGTGAAATTGCTGGTTATATAAGGCATGGTTTTAATCTTTTTATAAAATTTGAACATGTTTTTTATTCCAACTAGTAAAATGCTAGAAAACCCTACTTATTTACAATGCTAGAAATACAGACTTACCTTACATCAATTTTGTCCTAAACCGAATTTCTCAGGATTACTGTGGTTTCTTTCATTCTGGTTGAATTATATTGACCTTCTTCTTCATAGTTGGTTTGCAGTGTTCCATGAGTTTTACTTTTCCTCATCAACATATTGCTTTAACACAACATATTTATTTAACACATACAAATAGGGTCAATTTCAGATCCTACTGAGTGTGTGACATGCTTTTCCAACATCAGCTTTTTGTAACCACCTGTATAACTTTTTATTACAGTGAAATTGCAGTCAGTATGTGAACCAAAATATCTTGCCCCTTTATGAATTTAAAAGGCAGCAAATACAAAGTCACCTTTTTGGAAATATAAAAAATAAAGCCTTGCATTCTTATATAGCAGGTCTTCATAAGACTCTAAAATTCCTTGTTGCTACCAGTCTAATCTTGCCTTAAATGTTAAGTTATTTTTTTGAATATATAAATATAAACACATACACAGATGATGACTGGAGTGGACTTTTAAAAAAATATTTTTTTCATGAGATACTATTTTAGGTGAAATTGTTACTGTAGATTTAACAGCTGTTTTGAAATATTTACTGTTATTAAAACTTGCTTCAAGAGAAATTGTGAATATATTTCCATATACAAGCACTAGTAACAGTAAGTGGCCCTGTCATCCACTAACTCAGGCACAGTAAAGAATGGCATTTTCAAAGGACATTTTACCTCCCCATATGATTTGATTGGCTAGGACTTTCTTCTGTAGAGTCGTATCTTTTCACATCTTAAGTTTTTACATTTGCCATTTTCCAAATCTCAATTTGGGGCAAGAACGACATAGTCACAACTATGGACCTGCTTTCAAAAGCGGGGCTCCATTTCTACTGTCAGATCAGTGTGGTGCTGTGACCATGTTTTTATCCCTACTTCCAAGAATCTCCTTGTATGAAGCCTGTCTTTGTCCATCGGAAGGTGTATGAAATCACTTCCTTCTGGTTTTATGCATTTGTAGACTATGCAGCTTTTCATTAAACTGCAAGTATATACAAGACAGATCTAAAATTAGGCCTGAGTGTTCCAATCCACCACTGTACTAGTAAATAAAAATCCACCTACCTTTTATGTGGAAAATTATGTGCTATTGAGTAACTTTTAGCTCTTTTTAAAAAGTGGGTGAAATTTAAGTGTCTTTTTTTATGAGAATGACACATGAAGAGATCTGAGAGCAATCTCATGTAGTCTTCCATGAACCTGCAATTGTTGTTTAGTATGCGTCAGCATTTTCCAGTTTCCAGGTTGGATCTAGAGCTGCTGTTGATCACTCAGGCATACTAATGGATTCATTTAGATGGGTCCAAGCTGCAGTCCATGAGCAATAACAGACTACCCCATATACTGCAGTTTACTCAGTGCTTAGTAAATGAGATTTGTGGAACTAAGTTATTGGTTACCTGAGGCTTCTTAAGAAAGTCTTCTTTTTTGACCAGTTGATGTGAAAGAGGGAGCATGTGACACAGCCAGTATGGTGGAGTGCTAGGGTTATCCTGTTTACAATAAATTGCCTGAATTTCACCTCTGGAGTCTGCATTTGTATTATTTTTCCAGTTTTACTGAAATAGTACAGTGGCTAGTTTTCAGCCTACCTCTCAACATCTCAGTTTGACCAGATTTCTTGCTTTCATTGTTCATAATGCAGAAAGCAGTGAATTATATTAACATTTTTAAAGTGTTTCTGAGTAACAATGATTTTTGTCAAATAGAAGACTCAATTTCACAACCTTAAGAATAGATCACTTTTGTAAAACAAGAATCTCAGTATTTGATGTTGGATTCCTTGCTGTGAGTATTGTCACTGGTACTCCAAACCCAGAAAGATTTGTTCCTACCCTTACAGGGACAAAAATAAAACGGATAGAAAGACAAAATATTTCTCTCCTCTACAATGAGTCCTTACATCTTCTTGCCACATCTCCAGCTGCAGGTTAGGCAGATATCTTGTTCAATCTCTGTCTTCTTGATCCCTGTCAAAATAATTTTTCTACTCATGTAGTGGCCAGCTGGCTCAGGCAGGCATTTCAAGAGGAAATCTGCTTGTTCCTCACTTTCCAGCCTAGGACAGTCAGCATTGTGCTCAGGGATGATGCGGCAGCCCCACACAGAGGTCAAGAGCAACCCCAGGATTTATGAGTTGGGACAGTTGTGCTCTCATTCTCGGGGGACTCAGCTGGCTCCCCTGTTGCTTTTTGTTTTTTTGTTTCGTTTTGTTTTGTTTTGTTTTTTTGAGACAGAGTCTCGCTCTTTCGGCCAGGCTAGAGTGCAGTGGTGCGATCTTGGCTCACTGCAACCCCCGCCTCCCAGGTCCCAGCGATTCTCCTGCCTCAGCCTCTGCAGTAGGTAGGATTACCGTGCACACCGCTTTGCTCGGCTACTTTTTTGTATTTTTAGTAGAGATGGGGTTTTGCCATGTTGGCCAGGCTGGTCTCAAATTCCTGACCTCAGATGATCCACCTGCCTTGGCCTCCTAAAGTGCTGGGATTACAGGCATGAGCCACAGGCATGCACCCAGACACTTTTTTAAAGACAGGCTCTCTGTCACCCAGGCTGAAGTGTAGTGGTGTGATCATAGCTCACTGCAGCCTCAAACTCCTGAGCTCGTGCAACCTCCCAAGTAGCTAGGACTACAGATGTGCACCACCACACCAACATTATTTTACTTTTCTTTTTTGTAGAGACAGGGTTTCTCTCTGTCGGCCAGGCTGGTCTTGCACTCCTGGCCTCAAGCAATCCTCCTGCCTCAGCCTCCCAAAAAACGGAGATTACAGGCATGAGCCACTGTACCCAGCCCACAATCTTTCAACGGGGAGGATAGTGATAAAAATTTTCATCATCCCAGATTTTCAGAGGTGGAAATAGGCTGAGAAAGGCTGAATAGTTTGCATGGGATCATCCAGGAAGCAGATTCAAACCTCCGCTCAGCTCTTTAGAGTGTAGATCTCATTATTCCATGTGGATTTCCTGTAATAATAGCTTCCAAGCCGATGAATGTCCTTGTGAAACAGAAAGACAGTTGCTTTTACATGTGTATATAACTTGACCTTTTTCCCATGTACCATCTTACTTGATCTCTTAACCTTGCCTATTTTGGAGGGCATGAGACCAGATCTCACAGTCATACCCAGTCCACTTTGCCAGGCTACTTTGAAACCAGTTATCACCACTGCCTGCAGAATCTCCTTCCCTTCCTTTTGGGGGTAATCCAGGCCTTAAACCAGTGGAAGCTCTTTTTCCTATTGCCCTGGAGTGATAGAGAGTTTCTGGGATCTTTCAAGAAGTTTGGAAGAGGCCAGGCGTGGTGGCTCACACTTGTAATCCCAGCACTTTAGGAGGCTGAGGAGGGTGGATCACTTGAGGTCAGGAGTTCAAGACCAGCCTGGCCAACATGGTGAAACCCCATCTCTACTAAAAATACAAAGTTAGCCGGGCGTGGTGGCACATGCCTATACTCCCAGCTACTCGGGAGGCTGCGGCAAGAGAATTGCTTGGACCTGGAAGGCGGAGGTTGCTGTGAGCCGAGATCATGGCACTGCACTGCAGCCTGGGCAACAGAGTGAGACTCTGTCTAAAAAAAAAAAGTTTGGAAGAGGAGTATGAGGAAGAGTCATGTTCACCTATGACACCACCACAGAGACAGCCACTGCTTGCATGGTGTTTCTCTGCAGTCTTCTTCCTGTGCATATAGGAAGGGGTCACATACTCAGTGTTGGAACTCTTCCCCTCAGTAGCCTATTTGTACTGAGCATTTTCCACATGATACCCTTGAAAAAAGTATGTCTTTTGTTGTTGTTGTTGTATGTTGTATGTTGTTGGTGGTGGCTCTTTGGTATCATACTGTATTGTTTGTTTATTGAGTCCTCCGAGGGGGTTTTAGGGTGTTTTCAAGTTTTGATCTGTGATAAACTTTCTTGTGCTGAGTATGTGTGTGGTTTTCTGATTATTCCCTTAAATTGCTGGGTTATGGAATGTGAATATGTTATTTAACTTTATATATTGAAAAATGTTTACAGAAGAGTTGTTGAAATAGTCCAGTGAATTCCCAGATACCCTTCACCCTGTATTGGCCAATGTTGTTTGTTTCATATCCTGTCCGTTCTCTCTCTTATGTGTGTAGGTGTGCTTGTGCGCGTATGTGTTTTGCCAAATCATTTGAGAGTAAGTTGCAGATGTTATGACTCCTCACCCCTAAATACTGCATCAAGTGTCTTCTAATAACAAGGTCAGTATGTGATAAGGAATTTTCCCTCACTCAGAGGGAAGTCTGGCCTTTGTCTTCTTTCTCTTTGTTATAGACAACTATATACCAGTAAGTCTGACAACTTAGATGAGATGGACACATTCCTTGAAAGACACAAATTGCCTAAACAGACATGAAAAGAAATAGGTGATTTGAATATTCCCTTACCTGTTAAAGAAATTGAATCATAATTGAAACCCTTCCCATAATGAAACTTCCAGACCCACATGGCTTCACTAATGAATTCTATTCAACATTTAAGGAAGGAATTATACCAATCTTACATAACATTTTAGAAAACAGGGAAGGCCTTCCCAACTCACTTGACAAGGCTAGTATTACCCCTATTCCAACTCAAAGATATTTCAAGAAAAGAAAGCTCCAAGCCCTTAAAAACAATCCCAAAAGTCCTTAACAAAATATTAGCAATTTGAATCCAGCAGTATATAAAAATGAATTTTTTATACAATTGATTTTCAAATATTACACCAACCTTACATGATGACCAAGTGGAATTTTCCCAGGAATTCAAGATTGATATATTATTTGAAAATTAGGGTTGGGTGCAGTGGCTCACGCCTGTAATCTCAGCACTTTGGGAGGCTGAGGTGGGCGAATCACAAGGTCAGGAGTTCAAGACTAGCCTGGCCAACATGGTGAAACCCCATCTCTACTTAAAAAAATACAAAAATTAGCCGGGCATGGTGTTGTGTGCCTGTAATCCCAGCTAGTTGGGAGGCTGAAACGAGAGAATTGCTTGAACCTGGGAGGCGGAGGTGGCAGTGAGCCAAGATGGCGCCACTGCACTCCAACCTGGCTGACAGAGCAAGACTCCATCTCAAAAAAGAAAAAAAAAAGAAAATCAGGCAGGGTCTGATGGCTCACACCTGTCCAGCACTTTGGGAAGCCAAGGCCAGCGGATCACCTGAGGTCAGGAGTTTGAGACCAGCCTGGCCAACGTGGTAAAACCCTGTCTATACTAAAAATTCAAAAATTAGCTGGGCACGGTGGCACACACCAGAAATCCCAGGTACTTGGGAGGCTGAGGCAGGAGAATCGCCTGAACCCAGGAGGTGGAGGTTGCAGTGAGCTGAGATCGTACCACCGCACTCCAGCCTGGGCAACAGAGCAAGACTTAGTCTCAGAAAAAAGGAAAAGAAAAGAAAAAATCAATTAGTGTTATTTACCATGGTAACAGAAATAAGAAAATACATTATGGATTATTTCAATAGATACAATAAGTATTTTACAAAGTTCATGATAAAAGCTTAAAGAGTAGAAGGTAACTTTCTCAATGTAATAAAGGGAATTTACAAAATATCTACAGGTAACTTTTTCTTTCCTTTTTTTGAGACAGAGTCTCATCGCCCAGGCTGGAGTGCAGTGGTACAATCTTGGCTCACTGCAACCTCCACCTCCCAGGTTCAAGCGATTCTCCTGCCTCAGCCTCCCAAGTCGCTGGGATTGTAGGCACCTGTCAGCATGCCCGGCTAATTTCTGTATTTTTAGTAGGGACGGGGTTTCACCATGTTGGCCAGGATGGTCTCGAACTCCTGACCTCAGGTGATTCACCTGCCTCAGCCTCCCAAAGTGCTGGGATTACAGGCGTAAGCCACCACGCCTGGCCTACAGGTAATATTTAATGATAAAATGTTGAACACTTTCCCCCTTAGATCTGCACCAAGACACCACTTCTCTTCAAACTTGTATTTGAGGTCCTAGTCAGTACAGTAAGGCATAAATATTGGAAAGGATGAAGTAAAACTGTTCACGGACTACATGATCACATACGTAGAAAATACTAAAAATGCTACCACTAATAACAAGATTGCAGGATACAACTCAACATTAACAAGTCAATTATCTATACACTAGCAACAAAATTAAAATAGAATTTTCAATCACATCAAAATATAAGGAATTTAGGGGTAAAGTTCTACAAGTGTGTAAAACCTGTACACTGAAAACTTCAAAGCATTGCTAAGAGAAAAATTTAAAGATCCAAAAGGATGTTTGCTCATATTTACGGATTGGAAGGTGATGGACGGGAGGAAAAATATTTCTCACTTGTCTTGGGATCATAACTGAGGTCCTGTGATACTGTAATAAGATATACCAGGCACCGGGGCTCATGCCTTTAATCCTAGCACTTTGAGAGGCCGAGGTGGGAGGATCAGTTGAAGCCAAGAATTTGAGACCAGCCTGGGCAACATAGCAAGACCCCCAACCCCATCACTACAAAAAATAAAATAAAATTTAGCCAGGCCTGGTGGTGCAAACC